CGCTTCCTGGAGGGCGCTCCACACCAAATGCACCTCTGGAAAGAAAGAAAAAGAGAAAACATTTTCCATTTTTTTCTGTCTGCTTTTGTTTTGCACATTGAACATGAGGATGATTGCTTTGAACTCTGGCCCACTCACAGACAAACATAAAAGAGGATTTTTGGAGAATTTGAGGTTGTGTGGAACATAATACTTATACATACACACTTTTAATACTTTTATTATATTTTAGAAGTTGTTTTCAAATGTGATTGTATTGCAAATATTGTTTTTGAGTGGAATTTGAGTTTTTATTTTTACTGCTAGGAAAAGTTGCTCTCTGCACACCCAATTCAAAAACAATGTTTGCATTAAAATCACATTTCAAAACAACTCCTATTCACAAGTCTTCACAAGCAAACAGCTGTGAATTGTCTTGGCACTGTTCGTGTTTATGCTCTGAGATCACAAGAGGCATTTCAAAGGTCAGTGTCCCACAATTCAATACCAAAAGAATGGGCACGAAGCATTCAGGCACTCAGGGGGATGTGGGGAGCGAGAGAGGGCGAGGGGGAGAGTGTTTGTGTGTGCATTGTGGTGATTTACGCAGAAAAGAGAGCAGGAGAAGTATACACAACTCAATTGAAACAATAGGAAAAATGTTTTACATGACTGATGATATAGATTAGTTAAGTTAAAATGAATAAATTCACTTCATGAATACCCAGATTGGAACATACTGCCACATCATAGTCATGCTAACACACCAACTAGTACATTTTAAGAGGACATAATTATAGCTCAGCAGCCTGCCCATAGCCACTAAATGATTTAATACAATCAATAAATTAAATAAAAAGCAGACAATGAGTGTTGCACCTAAAAATATGAAATAAAACGTTTTAAATGTTAAATCAATTTCAATCTTGATAATAAAGTTACCAGTTTACCAAACAGTTACTGTTAATACGGTTAGTGCAGCTTCACAAATGTGTCAGAGTGGTTGGTTTTATTCCTATCTTTATTTCTAATCACTAGAAATCAAATAGTTTTCAGCGTGCTGGTCATATTGTCTGTATAGCACATTAAACACAACACAGTTGGCCTAAAGTACTTTACAAAGCAGAGAAAAACAGAACCAAAGAAAGGACAGGACAAGAAAAAATAAAAATAAAAACCACATGTTAATGACAATGCAGACAAAGACCACAAACAGCCACAGACCGGAAATACAGGAGCTGGTTAGTTTAGACACAGTTTGATGAGAGGATCAATGCACTAAAATCAATAATAAATACAGACACATGACCCTCGTAAAACTACAATTAAAGATATTATTAGTGAGATATAGTGTGTTAGTGAGCTCTAAAGGTGTGAGTGGGCCATTTCTTCAGCTCGTTCCCCAGCTTCAAGTCTATAAGCTAACCTAACAAGGCTCCATCTTGACAGTAACAATCTTCTCATCTAACTCAATGTGTAAAGGTGTGTTAGTGTGTAATTTGACGCCTGAAAGTGTGGGCATCCCCCACCAAAACAATCTGCCCCCCAATATACAGTAGAAAATATGTTAAATATGGTCTCCTTTTTTGAACCCTGTCATGTTATTTCTTGTTTATTAATTTAATTTATCCATTTATTAAGGAAAATATGAGTGTGGAAACCACCAAGAAGCCACCTAAAAGAAGGCCCACCTAAAGAAATCTGAATGAGTTTAAGCGTTTGCTATATTTAGGATATTTTCACTGCTTTACCTTGCCATTATACAGCCCTTTCCAATGAAGAAACGGACAATTGGGAAATTAGTTAACACGTTATTTGTCATCCGAACTAACCCTTTAAAACACGGTTACACAAATAACACAAACAAACCAATCACAGACTGTCCCTTTTAACGTGAAATCAACTGACCCCTAACGTTTTTTTAGGAGCAGTACAGATACAGATTATTATAAATCAGGGAAACTGTTAACCGATATTTGGAACCAATATACATTTGCAGTAAAAATGAAAACCTTGTCAAAATTTAGAATAAAGTGGTGGAGTGTAACTAGGTACAGTACTGAAGTACAATTTTGAGGCACCTGTACTTGATTATTTTCATTTCCCAGTCTGTGGCACAACAACCCTGAGTCCTGGCTATTACTCACGATGTGTAACAGATCCTGTTATGAGCAGGAAACTGAATGAGACTATAGAATGATGACTACAGACAGAAAGAGGCAGCTGCCTCAGAGCCAAAGCAGCACCTTTTAAATCTTTTATCAGCAATCCCTTAAAAAAAAAACAATTCTGATAATTGGAAAAATTCTGAATATCTGTCAGTCCCTAATCAAATGATTAATGATCAATGTAGTCTTCAAACGTATGTTGTAAATGTGCCAATTTTCATATAGAAATAACACAGAACTGTAGTAAATGCACTTGGTATTTTTATATATATTTATATACCATGATTACACCCTTACCTGAAAGCATCAATTGTGTGATAAGATGTACTTTGGTCAGAGTCTCTAGCTGCGTTGTGTCGGGATCAGAGTTGCAAATGTAAATGGGGAAATGCTATTTAATGCTTTGTAGGCAAACAACAGTATCTTTGAATTCACACTGTCACATATTTTAATGTAGTTCCTGCTTTTCTCCAGCACGGTCTCTGAGTTTTGTTAAAGGAACACTAAAACATGGAGGTTTTGCCAGAATACACTCCAGTGTGTAAGAAATGAAGCTGAAAGAGTGTCAACAGTCTCTCTGTCTCATTTGTCCTATATCAAAACCTTCTCTTTGATATTTTGGATGTATTTTCCTCGGACTGTGTTTGAATCTGTACATACTGATCTTCTGCCACACAAATCTTGTTTTTTGGTATTTCATAGTGCCCCCGGTGCACCAGCTTGACTGCAATCTTCAGGGGGCCCAGTGAGGGTCCAGTTGGCACAGTGAAAAAGAGGAGCACACTGAGGACAGGGGAGGGAGTGAAACAGGAAACAGTCCACACTTCCTCAGACAGGATACAGTGCTCCTCTAAGAGGCATCCTGCACTCTAATGCCTCAAAGGCCTTTCACACAAACACACTTATTTTCCTTTGGCACATTACTGCATTGTGGAGAGAGGGAACACACACACGACTTGTGAACCTGTGAGAAGAAAACTCAGCAAAAACTGGGCATGAGTGAAGCAGCAGGGCCACGAGGTCAGACATCATGTTTGGTAACACTGTCCTGAAGATCAAAGTGTGATGAACTGATGCAGGTTTGAATCCAGAGATTTGCTTTGAACAATAAAACACAAACATCCACTCCATCTCAGAGGGAAATGTTATTCTTTTTACTACACGTGTCCGTAGTGAACAGGATGCAGTGCGGATAAAGAGTTTACATACAAAACTAAGAAAATAATAATCGTGGTGCAGGTCCTCTTCTACGGAGGCCGCCATGTTGAACTGCCATTTTTCTACAGAAGCCAAGAACAGACAAACCATCACTGGTTCTAGATAGGGTATTTCGTATTTATATTTTCAGGAGTTTCATGGCCACCATAGTTTCTCCTACATGCTTGGAATTCAAGTTGCATTCAAATGGTTGCAATCTGCAACTTTACCACTATGCCACTTAATCCTACACACTGGTTCTTTGAGTAAAGATACTTGGAACCAGTATCAGAATGTAACTAGGTACAACTATAAGCTACATCTACTAAGTTCTGTACTTATAAGTACAAATTCGAGGTGCTGGTACTGGTAAACCATTTTATACAACTTTACAGGCCTACTTCTACTACTACTATTACATCACAGAGACAGTGGACGGTTTTAGTGACTAGTTACTTTTCAGATCACAATTTTTTTTATGTTTTCTGTCCAGTGAAAACCACGTGTCTCTAAATTTGGTGATTGTGATTTCAATAAACTGAAGGATGAAAGTGTTCCTTTATGGGCTGTGAAAACATCCTATATAAGGATTTTTACTTGTAGTGGAGTATTTTCACTACGTTGTATTGTTACAATTAAGGATCTGAAGACTTCTTCCATCACTGCTTGTAACAGAGTGTTTCTACACTGTGGTACTGCTTTATGCAAGTAAATAATCTTAATTAGAGATGAAACGATTAGGCAATTAATTGATTAGTTGGACATTTGATTGACAGAAAATCAACCACACTTTTTATTTTGGGGGCTTTTAATGACTTTAATCGATAGTGACAACTGAAGAGTGACTGCAAATGTGCTACAGGTCAGATTGGATTAATCAAATAATTGATTAAGTAAAACTTCAGTGGTTCCAGCGTCTTTAAAATTGAAATTTGCTACTTGTCTTGGTCTTTTAGGATATTAGACTATACATATATTTAGTATAGTATATATACTGTTGGTTGGACAAAACCAACAGTTTAAATATGTCAAGTTTAGATTTCAGAAATTCTGATGGGCATATTTTTATTTTATTTTATTACTAATTAATTAATTTAGAAAAAAAATCTACAGATTAATCGACAATAGTATTTGCAGCTACAATCTAAATACTTATTCATCTACTGCATTCAACGTTGTATGTTCAAAGTCAACCTGATGCAGATTTAGAGCCACACATGGACACAAACCTTTTGTTAGATGAATAACTACAGAGGTATAACATAAAACAACAGCTCTTTCATTTATTGCGCGCACTTTTAAGAAAAAGTGTTAATGTCTGAAAGTCAGTATTACCCTTACCTGCAGAAATGTATTGAATCTGACTGGAGGGTCCATGCTTTCATGTTGGCTCCACTTGTTATATGGTGAGATGCAAGTGCTGCCACCTGCTGTATGCTGTCATTTCCCAACATTGTTCACTGTTGTTACTGTCTGAATGCAAAGTTAAAAGATTTTCTAATGGACACGGAGTTTAACATATTTCACACAATGTCCTGACGAACTAATAAATGATTACGATTAAATAATTTCTTGTTTATAATTTCCTGCATTCACTCATTTTATCCGGAACTCTTGCGACTGTTTCCCGACGGTCTCTTTTCTGTGTCGCACAAAACAATGTCCCCCAGCCCGCCGAGGTGGGAGATGAAGTGGAGCTCAGTCGGCTGTAGCTTTGCTGATGTTTTGTGGGCTTTTCTGGCTTTGTGTTTCCTTGTAGCTTACTGCGTTCACAAAATATCATCACAGCTGCACAAAAATACGAAACTTGTCGTATTTCCGTTTTATTTCAGGATCTTATTCGGTACGGAAAAACCAAACAAACCCTGAGAAGAGACGACTGGCTGCGTGTGTTTGACGTCCCAAAAAGGTAATTGTTTGTGTAGGAAACAACCTAGCCGACGCGGTGAGCTATAAAATAATGTATTTATCACTTTAATTTATACATTTGTAATGTCTTCAACTGGAGTTTTAGGGTTTTTTTCAGTGTTAACTTCTTAAAAACTTAAATGTTTGGATGCTAGCTTAGTTGAAGACAGAAATAGTAACTTGTGCTCCTTTTTTTCGTCTTCCAGGTGGTTCTGGCACTTCTATGCCATCTCTGTAGGCTGGAATGGTCTTCTTCTGCTCTTGTACCTCAACCTCACATTTCGGCATCAGTCCTACCCACCATGGCTCACCGGGTCGTTAGACATTTTGACAGGTTTACCAAGCACTGACAGTCAAGGTAGGCTGACCGTCCAACACTGTGTCTAAAGCTTGTGTCCTCCTGTTTGATAATTCACGCTGGTATTCATCCTGTCTGTAGTCCCACAGCTGTCCACTGTGCTGGTGCTGCTGCTGCTCTGTGTCCACTCCCTCAGGAGGCTGCTGGAGTGCCTGTTTGTCAGTGTTTTCTCTGATGGAGCCTTACATTTAGTGCAGTATGTGTTCGGTCTGGGGTATTACATTACGATGGGATTGACGGTGCTCTGCTCGGATCGTCTGGGAAAAGGTTAAACTCAAATCAGTCCTCTCTACATCTACTGGTCAGTGGTTTTGCTATGTGGTGCTGATGTTTGTGCTTTTCTGTTTAGGGACTGGAACTCTCCTCTCTCAGCTGGACTGGATTCATGTAGCTGGAATAGCACTTTTCATTATGGCCTCTCTAATGCAGCATCAGTCCATGGTCCTGCTGGCCAGGCTTCGCACTGGGAAGTCAGGTACGATTGTCCAGTTGTCTTTGTTTAAAAATAGTGTCTCTTGTAGTTTTGGGCCTTTTACTACAGATGATTTACACTTAACTGCTGACCATTTGCTAAACAAATCAGATTGCTGAACAGTGTGATTATCATAAGAAATCCATCACATGAACATCACATTTGCTTTTATTGTTGCCAAAAGTGTATAATGTAATAAACAACACACTCTCAGTGTAACCATGTGAATAGTATACAATAGTAAACGACTGATCTATCAATTAGTAGGGGCTGATCTGTTTTCTGTCGGTTGTCTTTTGTGGCGTCTCTCAGGAACAGTGGAGACGCTGGCTCACAGAGTGCCGATGGGAGGCTGGTTCGAGTTGGTGTCATGCCCGCATTACTTTGCTGAGCTGCTGATCTACGTTTCACTGAGCTTGGTTTTTGGAGGCCTGTCTCTCACCTGGTGGCTTGTTGTCCTTTATGTGCTCTTCAACCAGGCACTGGCAGCACAGCTTTGTCATGAACTTTATATTAGCAAATATGAGTCTTACCCGAGGCATAGAAAAGCATTTATACCGTTTATAATGTGAATAGTTTGTGTTTGCCTTGCGTATTGGGAACTGTAAGATCCTAGAAAAATGTTGTCTGAGGATCTGAAGGTGCAGGACTGAAACTCACCTCCCTCTCAGCATTGACTGACAAGCCAACAGGACAACTTTGAACTTTAGTTGACAGCTCCAAAGGGTGAATGTGAGGCATGGCAGTGCTATGGAAACATTTTTCCATAGCAGAAGTCTCTCCAAGTGAGAGGTGAGCTGTTTCTTACTGACTGATGTGAATAAATGGGGAAATATATATATATATATATAAAAAATATCCTTGAATCTTGTTTTTGTTATAATAGGGTACATCCATGTCATAACAACACATATTTTTACAGCACACAAACATATCTCATTATAATTCATAAGATAAGTGATGTTGGTTGAATAAGGAAGTTTTAAATGTTTCTTCAATAACAAAAAGATCCTTTCAAAATTAGCCAAATTTAGACTTTGACAAAAAAAATGTTGTTAAAATAAGTGGGTATGATTTAATAACAGTAGAAATCTCATACGTATATTGCTACGAGTTATTGTGTTATAACAGAAACAAATGTAATTGATATGAGAAATTAAGCTTTGTTTTTTCTCATGGTGCTAATACCAAAGTCCTGCTGTTCGACAAACAAGTTTTTTAATAATAATCAGGTTTGTTGGAATTAAATATTGCACTTATAGCCAATAAACTGAGCATGGGAGTGGAGTTCGTTCCACGTTGTACTTCTGTATAAGTATTTATTTTAATCTTTTTGTCTGTATTTTGTGCATATTTGTGTCTACACTAGGGCTTGAGGAATCCACTAGATCCAATCGAATCCAACTTTATTTGTTAAACACTTTAAAAACAACCAAAGTTGACCAAACTGCTGTACAGGAGAATAAATAAGACATCATAAATGTAAACAGTGATGGTGATGAAACACATCTGCATTTTAAAGCTTATTTACACATTTCTAGCCTTTTAAATTTGTGTACTTTATAACTTGTAGTGTCAAACAACCTATCATGATAACGTGGTAGTTTTATTTCCCCTTGTATGTCTTTAACTATATTTGCATTAAGTCGTTACTGACAAAAACACTGTCCAATCACCGAGCTGTATTTTATGTACGTCATCCCACAAGCTCACGTCACTCCTTCAACGGTCCAATCATCTCTCTGCTCCGGTCGTAAACGCAGCAGCAAGATTCTAACTTCCGCCTCGAGTCGACTCGGTCGGTCTGATCGTGACGTGTATTAGCGAAGATCGTGTAGGTTGCTAATATGAAGTTAGCCAGTCCAGTTGCCGATGATATTAAGTGATTCGCGATAGAACAATTAAAGCGCAAACTGTGTGTGGTAAGTGTTTAGAAAGCAATAATGCCTCTCATGGTCGGCGGAGGAGATGGACGGACTGATAGAAATGTGATGTGTGTCTTGTTTCCGCTCGCCGCCGTGTTTTTGTTGTCGGTCGGAGTTGCTGCTGTTCCAGAGGAGCACAAAGCTGCTGTCCAAGAGCAGCCCCCACAAGAGGTACACGTTTTTCACTTCTTTATTTCCAATTCAATCTTCTGTCGTCGTCGGTAGCTGCTGCCGCTGCTTCCTAGCGCCTCCGAGCTAGCCAGCACATGCTAACTGAGACACACATCACATTGTGTTCCGGTTGTAGCTCCAGTGGGTAAAGTTAGTCCTTCATTGGTAAATACCGCCATGAAAGCAAATATTTAAAGGAAAGGAAAGATAAGGTAGACAGCCATAGGGGTGTTAGCATGAGAGAACCGAGCTCCCGGTTTTGTCGCCACCAGTTTTATTAATGTTCCCACAGCATGCGGCCCGAATAGCACGCTAGCCAGGACAGACGTGTAAGTTTGACTTGCTTTATAAACAGTGTGTAACTGAGCCGACTGTCTCTGTGTGCGGCTGTGTTTGTTTCCTCTGCAGAAAGCCGCAAGTCCCCATCCCTTGGGCCCAGTCATTTCTGAAGATGAATCCAACAAAGGGAACATGGGCTTCATCCATGCCTTTGTGGCCTCTATCTCTGTCATCATCGTCTCTGAGTTGGGAGACAAGACCTTCTTCATTGCAGCCATCATGGCCATGCGTTACAACCGCCTCACCGTGCTGGCAGGTGCTATGCTGGCTCTGGGACTCATGACTTGTCTTTCTGGTTAGTAGAGGCGGATATTTTGGATATTTTTGCATATATTTGTAAATATAGTTCTCCTCAGTCTCTTGCTTTGGAATAATGAAGTCATTATTGTGTCCATCCCCCAGTGCTGTTTGGCTATGCCACCACCATCATCCCTAGAATCTACACATACTATGTGTCCACCGCTCTGTTTGCAATCTTTGGTTTACGGATGCTGAGAGAGGGGCTGAGGATGAGTCCAGATGAAGGCCAGGAGGAGCTGGAGGAGGTGCAGGCAGAGATCAAGAAGAAGGATGAAGAGGTAAGCCAACTTTTTACTTATCTCCCAAACAGATCAAGTAGTACAGCCCCAGGTTGACTAAGTCAGAATGAATAAGTAAACGTACATAATTTATATAAGCACTATGGGTACTGTTTCTGACTGGTAGCATCGTTTTACTCACTAACTCTCAAATGGTTCACGTTACTTTTTCACCAGGAAAACTCTGTCACAGTGCTGCTGCTTCTCAGAAGAAGATAATATACTTACACATACAAGTAGGAAATACTGACACAGATACATCTCATGTGCCAGTCTGATGGGAATTTAAATGAATCCAAATATAATGTTTTGACTAATTTTTACTCCTCTTACCCAAGGCATTTTAAAAAAGTTTGAGTTGTGTTGAAGCCATTTTTATCATCAGGCTGCACAGGAACATGGGGGGTTTTACTGTTTAGGCTGATATGGATTAAAGGGAAGTTTCCCAACAGGATATGCCTTACATGTCATGACCTGCCCAACTGATCTGCTGTCATAAATGCGTCTCATTATCTTGGGTATTCCTACCTGTTAATAGGTGGACCCGTCTCTGTACATTGTACTGTAAAGTAATAAACTCTTGACATTTTTGTGGCTAGTGGCAGGAACTGTATGTTGGGAGTTATAAAAATACTCCTATATTTCTATATTTAATTACAGCATTACATCCAGCTTTTAGTAAAATCACTTTATCCTCTGTTGCAGCTCCAGAGGTCCAAGCTGGTTAATGGGACTCCAGATGTGGAAGCTGGATCAGGGACTACAGCTCCTCAGGGAAAGTGGCACAGCATCGTCTCGCCAATCTTTATCCAAGCCTTCACCCTCACCTTCCTGGCAGAGTGGGGGGACCGCTCGCAGCTGACCACTATTATTCTAGCTGCCCGGGAGGTTTGTTGCATTTGCTGTACGGCACATGGCTGTGTGTTTTTAATACCTTACAGTACATGGATTGTCTGACTTTTTAGCGTGGGTGGCCCCAGTGCAAAATAAATCCTTTGTTTATCTTTTTAAGACCACAAACAACAAATGCCCGTCACTGCTGTGTTGATACACAGTTGATTAAATATTCAGGATAGGTATAATTTCCTATAACATCAACATGAAAGGCACTTCTATTAAATTCCCAGGATCCATTTGGGGTTGCAGTCGGTGGTACGCTTGGACACTGTTTGTGTACAGGACTGGCTGTGATAGGAGGGAGAATGATCGCGCAGAAAATATCTGTCAGAACAGGTGAGATCTTTTTGTTGTTGTTGTATTAAAATCATATTTGTTGAATATATTTTCACAAGTACAGTTCATTCTTAAAATGTACCACGCTCTAATCATATCTGTTGAAGAAACAATTGGCTTTAAAGCCAAGTGGATCTCATTCTTGAATTTAGGAATACAGTCTCAAAGTCTTGAAGCTTTGGAAAATCTTAATTTCAACTTTGTTTTCAAGGTATATGCTTGATTTTCAACATTGATTTACATCTGCACAATCACTCTTTAATTTTCAAAAGTTGTCCACACCCTGGGAATAGTGTGAGAAGATCAAAATCAAGTTTAGGAAATTAATAAACAGTAACAGAGCTGGTCTTATGTGTTTTTAAATAGTTTGTTCTAGTGTGAAACAAAAAGACCCAGTAAGTTGATTAAGTTGATCATTATATTTGACAGACTTGAGGAACATGTTTTCCACCACCGATATCTTTTTGAATGGCTACAGTTCGTACAGTATCTGATGTTGGTGTCTGTATCTAATGACACTTGAGACTGTAGAACATTTGTTACGACCGGCACAGGATGGAGAGGCCCACCAAACTTAACATGAACAAACTGAAATGTATTAAAGTATTTAACAATTATAACACACCGTACACAGGACCACGGCTCTGGGGCCGTCACTGCATGTTAGCTTGTTTAATGATTCAGCGTCCAGTGTGTAGGATTTAGGCGCCTCTTAGATCACAACTCCCTCCCTTCACCCTCTTTCAAGCGTGAAAAGGAAACTATGGTGGCTGCTAAACGCACAAAAAACACTAATGCCCTTATCTAGAGCCAGTGTTTGATTTGTCCCTTCTGGGCTACTGTAGAAACATGGCGGAATCCCCCTACCCCATGGTGTTTGTAGATATAAACGCTCCTTCTAAGGTAACAAAAACGTAACCATTCTTATTTTCAGGAGATTATACACCTTTATTCTACCAATAGATCCTCCTAAATGTTTCACACTGGACCTTTTAATGTTCACATAACTTGTTCTGGGATCAGATGCAGACTGTTTTTATATTTATTTTTCTCGTTTAGTTTCTAGGAACAAATTAAACACTTTTGTGAATGAGGCTCTTGTTTAATCTTCCCTCGCTCTGTAAGACAAAGTACATATACATTGGTTGTTTATCTCATAATTAAAATGCTTTTTCCTTTTCTTGCTTCTATAGTTACAATCATTGGAGGGATCGTGTTTCTGGCATTTGCCTTTTCTGCCCTGTTCATCAAGCCAGATGCTGGATTTTAATTGGAAGATGGACTTTCAGGTTTACTCTGTACATACGTGTAAAATTTGGTGACGTTGCTGGGACTGTAGTTTTGACTCTGTATGTGTCCAACAGAAACAGTGACTGGTTAAACAGCGAGCTGAAGTCCTGTCCTCATCTCCTGGAAGGCCTCTGTTCCACTACAGTCTGTAACTCGTGGGGTTTCCTGTCGAGGTTGAACAGTTCGGTATTATTTTATTAGCATTAAATAACATTTTCCTAGAGTCTGAACCGGTAGTACACATCAGAGCCTCGTGGGAGGTGTAGTTGTTGAATGCTAATAAATGTTTAGTCTTTATGAAGTACAGATGTTAGATACACATTTAGCTTTTTCCAGAAACCCCTGGTTTCATAAAGTGTGATGAAATTAAACCCTCTAATGAGAAGAAGACACTGAATTACAGGGGCTAGCGGTGAGAGGGGGCAGGACTGTCGCTCTCTTAGAGCTGTATTCTCATCACAAGGTGTGAGAGTAAGAAGAATGGATTGTTACTGATTGCTGACCTCTAACTCAACTCTGAACAGTCCTGTGGCTCAGACACAGAGCCGACAGGCAGTACTTCTCTCCCCCTCTGCCATCTCTGTTAGACACCGAGTCCATTTCAAAATCTTTTGCCTTTTTTTTTGTTTTTAAATGTTGAATGGTTAATTTTGTATAACATGAGCCCAGGTGCTGTCAGGTGACTGACAGAATAGTAACCGTAGACCGAGCTGCCAGTTTCCTGTTACAGGAGTTGGCTGGCGTTGTTAGGTTTATTCCACCGTGACACCTTTTCGCCATTGCAATCACATAAGAAGTGGGCCTACCTTACATAAGATTTTAATTTCCAGCTGTGAGTAAAAACACTGAAAGCAAATCCAACAGCACATAAACTTATGTAATTTGAGATTTTATTTGAGGCAAAGATGCCATTGTAAAATATTTCCCTTAGTTAATCCTCTGTTTCACATAGAAGCAGTCTTTTAGAGAGAGAGACCTGAACCACTAGAATACCTCTGCGTCCAGGTGTCGCCTGTTGGAATATCTGGTGGAGTACTTAAAGAGCTACACCACAGCTTCAAAATAGCTTATGTGCACCTTTCCAAAATGCTAACCACATATTGGAGATACAGATCGGGGGCCTTCATATTTCCAGCTTCCAGTTTCAGGTGCCGATAGGAAACAAAAAATAAATGGATTGGGTTGAAAAAAGGCCAGTAATCACCTCAACGCACAGGTTAACGCTTCCTCAGTGATGAAAGCCATTTCCAGTATGAACCTCACTGCCTGCACTGTCGCTGCCCTGAATGACAGAATCAGTGAGTAGTAACCATCATGTAATTTATCCAACACAAACCCTCAGTATAAGTCACTCCTTTGGCCATAAGCAGCTGTGTTGTAGCTACAGTGACACCTGAACACGGCAATGTAATTCAAGCATACGTTTCACCTTTTATTTAAAATGGTATCTATTTATTTAGCTTCTTTTTCTTTCTCTTTTTTTAGCACGTACTGTAGAAACACAAAGGGGGGAGAGGTACCTATAAACGAAGGAATGGAAATATTTTTTTAAGCAAACAGGCTAAAGCTGCATTGTCAATATTTGACAGGCTGTGCCCAGCTGTGAAATACTTCTGTTTGTCATACAGGTTGGTTGAAATGCCTATAAATCTAAAATGCTAAATAAAAATGTTTCATGTGTTGTCTGACCATTTGGACTGTATTGAGCTGAGTGAACAACAACAATGAACAAACCTCAGAAATCCAGTAAATTAAGGAACCAACTAGAGTCAACACAACACCAGAGACACTTCATTAGTTTTATTTTCAAATTGAAGGGGGGCAAACGATGGATACGTTTGCCTTAAAAGGTTATGTTTTAATTTATGAATGGTTTGGCTCAAGAAATGAATGCAAGGTAGCAGGCACACACACATGTGAAAAGAGCTCTTAGCATGATTTATAATGCATTATGGGATTGTTTATTGAGAAAGTGCAACCCCACACACCAGTTTCACATCATTTCCAAGAATGTAGTGTTTGATATAAGTTTAACTGCAGTTAAGGAGCCTAAAGCTGAACAGTAGGTGGCAGTAGTGGATCTTCAATCATTGTATCTCAGCAGGAAAATAGAAACTTAAGATTTCAGTGAGAAATCTACAGAGTAGCATGTAGGTCAGAATCAAAAATTATTTTAATAAGGCCGTCCTTTAAAAATGGCGAGTTGTAACTAATGGCTTTATTAATGGTTCAATGATTTAATAATATTAGATTAACAGTTAATACCGTTACTCTTCAGTCATTCATTCAAGCAGAAATGTCAAACATTTGCCAAGAGACCTTTTTCACAGCAGCAATTTTGACACAAAGTAGTAGGGTAAACACAGGCGTTATTTGCTGCCTTTCTACTCGTCTGCTTTGTATGGTAAATTAAAGATTTTCAACAAAACATTTGAAGATCTTACCTTGAGCTCTGGGAAATTGTGATGGAGATTCATGAAAAATGAAAATAATAATTAGTTGCGGGCTTACAGTGTTTACCCTTTGGCTTTGGTAACAATGCAGTAATACATGTTAATAAGTCATTTATGTGTTAATCCATCAAATCTGTAGCTGTAAGTGCTCGTAAGATATTTAAATGGTGTTTTAAACCATCAAGTCAGCTGCTGTGGTTAAACGGTCTCAGGAAGCCAAAGGAAGTTTTCACAGCCTGGCAACCTAAAGTTATTCTTATTATTGGCTTATAAAGCATTAGTAAATGTCTTTCTATTCATTAATAAAGCCATTAGTTACAAGTTATAAAAGGAGCTTTATTGCAAAATGGTGGCAAACATTTCAAACGATACCAAACCGTTTCTCACTGCAGGGCACACCTGAATCTGTGACGTCAGAGCGGGTCTCTGGCGTCACAGATTCAGGTTTGGCCACTCTGTGGGATTCATGTGGATTAACCCTTAACTTAACCAGGTGTTTAGTTTGTGGTTTTTTTGCCGTTGTTGTTGAGTGTACTGCAGCATTAAATTTCATGAGCCAAACAATTAACGCCACACAAACATGAACTCAAAACGGAGAGAGAACACTAATAGACATTCAGAGTTTCTAGTGTGTACATCAGAACTACACAACATTTAACACAATGCACTGTGTCCTTTCACTTAGGGCTGGCCTTCTTGGGTTTCCCTCTCTTTGGATAACAAAACATTTTCCCTCATGATTCTGTGACTTGGCAATGACCAACTAATAACTTTGTCTTTTAAAAACATCGTGTCGGTTCCAACAACTTCCTGCATGGAGGAAAACATTTCGACCGGCGGTAAAGACCCTTACATTTGATACAAAGTCTTGCATATCCATAAACTCACAGGTAACCCACTCTTTCTGGGGGCAATAGGTTCAACAGTCTTTATGTGTATGTCACAGTTCGTTTAGATCCTCCATGTTACTTGATTTTTAGGTTTTCACATTTTAAAGCAGTGTTGTTACTGTGTTTGATGTCACATATGTATGGTAGCTTAATGAGGTCTATTCCGGCGATAGAAAAATAATTCTCTAATAGTTCTCTCTATTTACTGCATGTCCTATCATACATTGTGCAAGGTCTCCCACAGCCACACGGCTCCTCATGCAAAATACTCATGTTAATGATATTTAATTACATTCTTGTAGGTATATTGCACCACTTGTGTCACACTCGAGTGCTGCTTGCATGTAGCACGGGACCAGGTTCACTCTACAGGTCTCTAAGTGTTTAGCAGAGAACTGTATTCTTATTTAAATATTGATATGTGTTGCACCACCACAACTGATTTTTAACAGAGGAGTGCTGTGTAAAGGTCCAGACTATGAGGCCTACTCTAACTAGATGTAGTCTTTCTGGAACTGTATGCAGTACAGAAACAACACAGTGGAGGAAGCTGGTATTAGGGACTGTACAAAAATAATTAGAGGGGAAGGTGAGATCAGAAAAGGGGGGAGGATTAGGGATTTATTGTTTTTGCTAAAGTATAATTAGTTGTAAGTCAAAAGTGCCTTGTGGATCATATGGTGCCTTCTGCCCCCTGTAACAGCACTTTATTATCTACTAGTAGGACCAATATGTCAGGTTTTAGAAACAGTAGATGTGGATTATTAGCATTAGTAAGGGATGTTTTAGCAATACGTAAATGTGTCATATAGATATAAGACATGTTTAGCACAACCTAACCAGTACTACTGATGGGTGAAGATAAAATATGACAGAGCTGCTAACTGCACCATGTTCACTCATCCATTGATACTGGTTATAATTATTTAATTTTGAAGCTCTGGAAAACAGCTGGAATGATCTGTTGCACAATTTATGTTGTTTTGGCAACTGCTAATTTCATTCCTCTTCTGCTACGTAAAAATCCCATTTGGGTTACGTAAAACGTTTTGTCCCATTAACATTTAAAACCAGGTTTGAAGTCGTGGTGAGGGTCCAAACTGATTAATAAAACCCTTGGAGGGAGTCCATCATAAGGTTCAGCCCCCCTTCCCAATCATGTTTGTACAGTCCCTTAGATGTCTTCACTGAAATGTGAAAAATGAATGAGTGAATAGATGAATTAAGTGGCCATACTCAAAACATGATGTAATCTTGACGCTGCATATAGCATGTGACTATAATGTAGACTCCAAAGGGAACTCCATACTCCACATGGGCATGTACCATAAAATAACCAGTTATTTATGCAATGACAACTTTAACCAACAAAGGCAACATGACAACCACTTTAAAAAAAAAGACCAATCACATAAATATGATGCAAGTCAAATGTACTCTGAAATGAGTGATTCAAAAGTTAAACACACATTGGGAGTGATTCCCTAATAAAATGACAATCCCACTCTCTAAACATTGGAAACAGACATTGACAGCTTTGGAGTTAAATTAAAGCATCGTAATGCCAGGGAAGTAATTAAGGTTAAATTATCAAACCAATTTTTTCTGCATGTTCAAACGCACAAGCTGAGCTGGGCTTTGGGCCTATCACAATAGAAACAGCAGCTGTTGCATGTGATCGTTTATTTTTCCCCTGACAAATCCAAACTGAGTTACTTTAACCTCTTAGAAAGGCTGCTTGGGTGTGCCAATTTATGGGTCCAATATCCCAAAGCAGTGAGCCACAAATTAGTTTTTATAGCATTTGTCCATTGCTACTCAAGGCAAGGCTGAATCCAAGCATGTCTTCTATGGTGCACCACTCACATTTCGCACAGTGGATGAATAATGTGTCTTTCTGTGCTTCAAACTGAAGGCATGAAGTAAGACAATAACAATATGTATTACTCTATCTTTACAACTGAAGTGCTAATTTCTGGATCTCCCCTTTATGAACGCCATATTCAAACATTACCAGATGCACACTATTAAGTGCACATGGTAGCCCCAGATGCCTTGGGCCAAAGGTCAAAGACTGACCATGTATGTATTTCACCAGACCAGTCATGTGTTGAGCTCAGCCAGTCATTTCACACGGATGAAGAATGGGTCGAGTTGTCTGCCTGATACCATCTGACCGTGAATTAGATCAGATGGTGAGGAGGCTGGGAGGGGGTCTACGTTTTTAGCGAGATTGTAATCTCCTCAGTGTCGCCTTGAGTTTTGACAACAGTGTCTTTCATTGAGCAGACACGATGGTGGTCCCCATTTTCAAATAGTACTGAATAAGGAAGGAAGGTGTGTTCCAACTATTAAAAAGCTCATGAAAGCGTATACTTCCAATTAACTAGGAATTTGCAAAAAACAGTCTTTATGTGTTTTCTGTGGATTTTGCCTTATAATGTCTCCCACAGTATCCTGTATCCATTATTATTTTTAAAGCTGCTATAATCAATGGATCACATGACTGTCTGCATGTAAAAGGGGTTGCTCAATGATGACCCCACAGAGCAATTGTTTCTGGGCTTTGCAGTTTCCCTCAGCTTTACAGAGCTTTTTAGCATCTTTCAGCTCATTATTTTGGTTTTCCTGATGCAACTTTTACCATTTTGGTTCCCTCCCACAGCTCTCACAGCGCTGTGTTTGGCAGCAGCAGGCAGCTTGCAGTGGAAAAACTCACTTTACAACCCACTGTACACAGTCTGTCCAGCACCAATCAGCAGACAGACGGTTAGCAACTAGCTGGTGAACCTAATGGAGCAATTAGCAGCTAAAGAACCAGAGGAAAGCATTTGATTAGCCCGATGCTAACACAACTCATTCTCCTCAAGCTTAGTCTGAGAATATTAACTACAGGTTGTACATTTTTAAATTTCAATATATTTGAAGGGATAAATATCTATAGATTGAAGAAACCGTACCATACAGGCATTATAGGTGGCTCTGAAATGGCAGCTGAAGTGCTAAAAATGAAGAAGTAAGAATATGAAGGATTATGTTGGCAAATCTTTTTGTTGCATACATATAACCGTAGTCTTCATTCACAATGTTTGTGTTAAGTCTTTAGTGTGTGGATTTTAAACACATTTTAAAAAGCTTAGAAATACTTTAAAACATTTCCCTATCTTTTTGACAATTATATGAAAATCTGTGAAAATGTGGGTCAAGGATTAAACAAACTGTGACACAACAAGCAGCATCGGCATAGTCTGCTATGCAGACTCACAAACACGTCCCATAGGAGAAAGGAAGTCTGTGAAAATATCAGCCACTGAGCATTTTTAAGATCTTTTTTTCTTAGAGTACTAGAAAAAAAGCATATTCAAAGCTGCAAATAACAGACTACGCATTTCATTTCATGCATCATATAAAATATTAGTTCTTTCTTTTTCATTATATTTACATAATATATTACACTTAATGTTCTGTACAGTAAAAGTTCAATCTACACCACATTCTTAAAAATATTTTCTGACCCATAATTATTTTTACATGAAAAACAAGAATAGGAGAAAACATCCAAAACAAACAAGCCTCTGGCTGTTCTGCAGGACGTCCTTGAAGCTTGACAGAAGCTTCGCTGCATTAACTAGAGAGCTCTGCATAAAATAATCCTGTGAAGGGGACTAGAGCTCACACACACACACACACACACATACACACACACACACACACGCATGCACACAAACTAAACACACAGGGAAAAGGCCAGGGGAGGGATGTGAGGGGGAGTCCATTACAGGGATTGTGGCTCCCTGTTTTCTTGGAGAAAAGGCTTTGACCCAGAGCCAAATCCTGCTGCCAGAGCCACAGTGGGCCCAGTCCTTGGTTCTCTGCAGCACTCTGTGCTCAGGAGGTAAGTGCAAACAGCAAAAGATCCTTGTGAGGGGACGGAAGCCACAGCCTGCCCATCCAATTACTTCTCAGCCTCTGAGGCATGGTCTCAGTGCCGAACTTTCAGCAGAACTCCTCTTTAGACCCCCGTAACAAAGACACCCACGCCTGGGTTTGGCTCATTCCACCTCTGATTGGCTTTAGCCAGTTACTGTGGCTGCGTAGCAGAGCGATCAGACAAGCTATCTGCCCTGTGAGGGGCCAGTTGCTGCTGTTTCTGCTGTTGTAATTGCTTCTGCTGCTGTTGATGATGTTGGTGTTGTTGTAACTGCTGCTGCTGTAACTGTTGCTGCTGCTGTTGGGTTGTGGCAGTGAAGGTACCCTGCTGCTGCAAAGGGAACGCTGCCTGCAGGATCAACTGAGTGGACTGGTTTCCATGAAGAAGCCGAGGACCCTTAAGTGAAAAGTTTACATTAGCTAGATCTTAGGAAGGAAGTTAAGCTGTTGAGCCATGTATAGATAGATTACTTAAAACTGCACTAGGCAACATTTGTGTTTTTGTTTAGCTTTATGAAAGGTTTGCAACAAAACACTTTTTCACTGCCACTGAGTGGCAAAACAAATTCACTGTGGCTGCTATGAATGAAGAGAACTGTGATACTGATACAAATATCTTGATAAAATGGGGAAATTAAAGTTCTCACTAATCTTTTAGAGCTTGACTTAACGTTGCCTAATACAGCCTAAACGTTCATTACCACCTGTAGTGTTACCTGTAGGAACTGTGTTTGCTGCTGGGCCAGTGGACCTTGCCCTGGCTGCATGGCTGTGACCTGTGACTGCTGCTGTACCTGCTGCTCCTGCTGCTGTTGCTGTTGCTGCTGCTGTGGCTGCTGGGCAATGCTGATGGTCTGGGTCTGGCCCTGCTGAGGAGCGAAGGCCGTCACCACTTGGCCCATAAACATGGTTGTGGGGACCATGACTGCCCCACATGCCATCTGCCCTGTCACTAGCTTGGTGAGCAGCTGAGGACCAGCAGGAAACCTGTCAGAGACAGGCAGTGGGCAAAGGAAACATGGAATTTAAGTCAGGAGATTTCTCTTCATTTTCACCGTTTAAATTATTGTGGAGACTGAAACTACATACAACTAAAAAAATTAACCATGACAATACAATTAGTACAGTTTTTAAACGAATAAACACCTAATCTGAGCGGCACGGTCCTGTGCAAATGTAGCCACAGCAGGTGTGTTGTGTCCAGTATTTTGAGCCAGGCTAGTGGCAATCTGGACCACATTACTAGGGCTTTGCTGAGGGATCATCATTGTGTTGTAGAGAGACGCAGGCAGTGCATTTTGTTGTGGCTGCAGAGTGAGAGACGACCGCTGAGACTGAAATACATAAAACCAGAGAAAATAATGACATCTGTAGGAATCTACACTGAAATCTATAAGAAACTAAATTAAGCTTTGAATACAATGTGACAGTGGGTGGCTGTGTTGGATGTGTTGAATGAACGGGGAAAAGGGGAACTATTTAGTTTGTCTGACCTGTGAGAGCGCTGTGCTCTGTTCCCGCAGGAGTGTTTGTTGCTGGGACTGGGGCTGAACAGCATGTTGTTGCTGTATGCTGTTCTGTAGAGGCCCCGCAGACACCACCTGGCCCTGCATGCTGAGTGTTCCCCCTTGCTGCACAGCGTTCCCCTGGGCCATCTGAACCGAGCTCAGATTTAGTCCTCCGGCTCCTTTTTGTAAGAACATCTGAAACAAACAGGACACATTCTGACTCCCTCCGAAACTACGGCAGCCTAACATCCATCCCAACAGTAAATAAAGCAAAGCTATGATATATTGATTGAGAAGCTCTTCAGTCTCACCTGCAGGCTCTGTCCCTGCACTCTCTGCAGCTCCTCTTGGATCTGACGCAGCTCATCTTGCTGCCGCTGAATGTTGGCCTCGATCAGCCTGGTCCTCTGCTCCAGCTGCTCTTTCAGGTTTTGCATGGCTTCTAGCTGGTTGCAGAACTGCACCATTGACTGTCAAGGAACAATGACATGGGGACACAGCGGGAAGTGAAATGGCAGCTGCTGAAGTGGTAAATACAAGAGCATTTGTTTCTCAGTGTAGGAAACTTGTCATAACCAGCTCAAAACATTGATTGGCTCATATGTGATCAAATCTTAAAGAGAAAAGCGACATGTACATTTTAGATTATTTTAGTCATATTTGGGTTGCAACTATGAGCTCCAGAGTTCCAGCGCACTCAAAATGTACTTTTGGATCTTATTTGTTGATGGTGTTTCTTGCATATGCTGTAATGGATGTTCTTTTCAATAATACCAGTTTGGTTTGTGCTCAACAAACATTAGTTATGTATTCTTTCCCATTGGGGGATAAAATACTGAAGCAGAATTAGTAAATACATTTTAAATTTCAGTTTTTTATTAATCAAATTATAGCATAAAATAGATAATTATGTTAAGATTATTAAAATGATTAAGGAAGAATAAAAGCAATAATGACTGATTACTAAGATAAGACATGAATTAGGCTTTAAAACAAAGTGACATAAACATCTTACTTGACCGCTGGTCTGAACTTGTTGTTGCTGTTGAGGCTGCTGTTGAGGCTGCTGTTGAGGCTGCTGCTGTTGCTGTTGCTGCTGCTGCTGCTGCTGCTGCTGTTGTTGTTGTTGTTGTTGTTGTTGTGACACCATGGATGGTGCCATGTTCTGTCCTGTATTTTGGGAGCTCATCGACTGCTGATGATCAACAGACACCAAACAAAAAAAGGATGAAGTTCAGAGTCAAGTACTTTGTCTCTCTTTATCTGTAATTAAAGCCCTTTTGCTGTCTGTTTTTGGCCCTTCACTGACCTGACTGCTGATAGACGATCTTCGCTGTGATGTCACCTCCATAGCGGAGACAGACTGGCGACCTGGTGTACTCCTGTCAGCCTGAAGCTTCATCTGTGAGGCTGAGAGGGAAATACAAACATGATGCTCAGATGTCAGCCATATATGTACCCTTTTGGAGTGTCACATTGGTTGATATTGAATGGAAGTTTTTTGAGGGTGCTTACAGGCTGGGTCAGACACAGCGGTGTGCGAGGATTTGCGTGAGCTGCGAGACGAGGCCGAGGGTGTCCGGCTGTGGTTGAAGCGCTCTAGAGCCTCCTTCAGGCTGGACGTGTTGAGCTGAGACTCGGAGCCTGAATCCTGGCACTGCTGTGAGGTGAGGGAGAAAGTCACTGTAGTCAGCCTCAGCTCTGGGTCTCCATACAAAGCATCGTCACAGATTACTGATCCGTCAGCCCACAATAAAAAAATAAAAAAATCACCTTGTCTGCCGTAATCTCAGGTTGTGATTCTTCAATCCCAAGCTCTCTGCGCTGTTCTGCTCTTACTTCAGCATAACTGTACAGCATAGAGTGAATATAAAACACATACATATGTGATTAAAGTGACAGATGTGGGACAGATGTGTTTTTCTACTCTTGTATTTAGAAATAAAGATCGTCGGCTTCCATGTACCTTACAACAGTGTGTGTGCAGACAATAAACTCGGGTCTGGAGTTCCACTGGTGGTAGGTGATGTAGTAGTGGGTCTGAAGCCAAATCCACTGCTGCCCTTTGGTGAGGAATCTGTAGTAGCAGGACTTTCCCTTGCCATACTGCATTACTACAGACACACGAGGAAGCAGAACTGACGACCACTCACTGTATGAAAGCTCAAAAAGGAGCAGATAATCATACATCAGCTCACTTTAATGATGTCTGAGAAAGAAGTACTCACGGTGTTCGTGGCATTTGGCCAATGTCTCCAGGTCATCTACATGGTAGTAGTCATACCCTGACGTACCCAGGACCTCAAACGGGAGGTAACCTATAATGGGTGGAGCTCTAGACAAACAAAGAAAATGTTATTGAGCTGAGTCATTAGACCTCTGCATACCTTCTCCTCCTGTTAAAGTACTCATACTGTCTAGTCATCACACACCATCATTTTGGGGCCAATTATGATTAAGTTCACATATGAACCTTTATTTAGTCTTGATGGCCTGTGCATCACTGCTGTAGTTGTTTGCCAATCAAACTACATAGTCAGACTCAGAGACGCTGAATCTGTGATCCTCAATGGGGCAGGTAAAGTTTTAAGACATTTCTACCAACCACCCTGCAGAGTGTACTGACTAGTCATTCATCAAATGTAAAGAGTTAGGCTGCATTAACACCTGTAGTTCACTTCATTTGGTCCATGAGGGGGAAAAGAAGGTACACTGCTGCCTCTGCCAGTTCATGTTCACGTTATAAATGTACCAAGAGGATTAAACATGGAGTCATACAGACTGACAGGTAACTCACTGATACGACAGTTTTGTTGATGTCATCCTGCATCATCAGGACCCTCGTGGGAAAATCTAATTCTAGTGATTGACAGCAGGTTAGGCTGCACTTTATAATTTTTACGTGTTTATTTATCTCCTCTGGAGCCATAATGTGCTCACAGAGACATAACTGATTATGATCATTATTAGTCAAGATTACAACTGGGCATTTTATATCATAAATACAAATGAATGAAATAAAGAGGCATTTTGTACCATAACACTATGGAGATACAATCTGGTCACTACATTTCACTCCAGTTGTTTAGTCCACACCAGGGTTTGAGTGAACTTCAACTTAACAGGTTAGAAGTGAAAGCAGCCTTACTAAATTACCCACCGGTAAAGGGTTACTATACTAAAACATATAACACAAACACAAACTGCAGAGCAAAAAATATACTTCTACACAATGAAAAACACATGAAATGAAGAGAAAACAAAACTGTACCTGTGGTCCAAGAAGAGAAACTTCCACTCTAAACTATGTCTGGAGGTGAATTCCTCATTAGGCTCTTCTACAGTGCACATCTCCTGTAAGGGATAAAGGTTTAGACATTATCTACATTTATTTAAAAAAATATATACTAAAAAATCTGAGTCAACGTTGAGCTCAACATGCAGTAAAACAAGGCGAGCCTGAAGAACCAGATTTTAAACATTCATATTGTCCTTTTAGCTTTTGTCAGCTGCCATCTCCTGTTTGTCCAACACTACTGCAATAACACTACTCCAGTACCACTTTCAAGAGTATTATTCAGTGATGATGGTGGGTCAGCGTTGGATTCTATTTAACACTCAGGGCCACCCAATTTCTGGAGCCCTATCAATTTATAGGTTGGTTAATTTCTCTCGGCCGATATGGACCTGTATTGGTCTGTCACAGATATATTGGTGTATATGTTTTCCAAAATGCAGAAAGCGATGCCTTGGGTGATTTAGAAATGGTGTCATCATGTTGTGTGTCCAGCAGAGCTCGCTCCGACTCCATTGCATACATCAGCACTGTCTGCAGCACATGTAGCAGAGTGTGACACAGCTGAGCCGACTGTGGTGCGGACATAGTCAAGTGGGGTCTTCACAGTAAGTTGCTAACTAGTTTGTAAAATACCAACTGGAAAGTTACTAAATAATGACTCTATGATTCCAAATTTAATATAACACTAACTCTGTCCATGAGTACCTTTACACAGTCATATTGGTGCAAAGTCAGTATACAATCCACATAGAAAAGGTCTATTTTCATTCCAGCTCAAAAAATCACTATATCGGCTGCCATGTAGGGGATTTTCCCCTCTAAAAACAGCATCCCATATCAGTCGGGCTCTACCAATATCCAGCAGAATAAATAAAATCAACGGCAGCTCTTAAACTCAGCGGGGAGAATGATTTTACACAGAGGGAAAGAGGCAAAGAGATAAAGTGTTTTTAAACAAAGGAAAAGTGATTGCCAACAGAGGCAACAGGGGACTGCACATAATGGCTGACAGGAGCACAAATGTGTTTGCCTGGGGTGACCAGGCAGCCGTTACTGTCGAGTCCTGTTCTAATTAAAACTACCTTTTTCAAACACTGAGGCATGAAACCAGATAAAAGTGGAAAGTGGAAGAACTGCTAATGATTCTTACCTTGATAAACTGCGGTTTGGCAAGCCTCACAGTTGCTATGAGACACACTCTGTCTTCAAAGGCAGAGTGAAGCGATCTCTGGATCACTCCTTCGAAACTGTTTCGGGTACAGTTAGGCACTGGTGAAAAATAAAACAACAGAAAGGTTTATGGCCAGCAAGACTCAACTCGAGAATGAGACAGTTTGTTCACACTAGTGTTACCCACCATTATTCAGGGACTTGAAGTTTCCAATGAACTTGACATATTCATACACAGGGGGCTCTTTGGGGTCAATCGTCCCTCGGAGCATGTGGCAACAGAACTCTAGCTGATTTTTTGCTTGAAAAAAAGAATTACAGCATTAAAAACTGAGAATGGAAGAAAAGATTTGACTATTGGAAAGACTAAATACAGTATATTAGTAAAACATTATAATAGCATAATGAGATAAATGGAAATGCCAAGATAAAAAGATGCCACTTACTTTTCAGATATTCAGGCGTCAGTGTCTCTCCTTCCATGATATGAGAGGACAGAACCTTGTACACATCTGAATGCTCCCCCATGGGCAGGAAGTTCAACAGATTCTGATCCACAAGATCAGACTGAAACACAAAAAATATCTTTAACGCTAACGAATCTCTGAGCATGTATAAACAGGTGACATGTGGGCATTGTTATAGACTTGAAATTTTATCAATTAATATATCATCATTAATTCACATTATACTTACAGGTAAGTGCTCTAGTAGGGACGTCACACTCTCAGAGGCATAGATTATATTCCCATCAGTCATAATTGCAAGGAAAAATCCATCTAATGCCTGACAGAAACAAAATATAATTTTAATTTACTCACATGTAACCATAAAGAAAAGGACCACTGCACTCCATGTTTAGCTGCGCTCTTGGCTCACCTCCAACATCAGCTGAGTGAACTCTTCATTACTAAGAAAAGGAGGCTTCCAGTCTTGTCTGATCTCAGTTGACTCTGACTGAGCAGCAATTTCTGATGAAGGAGACATGAAACATGTCAACAAACAGGTTCATCTGAAGAGTGTGACCCACAACTCTCTAAGTGTTTATGACAAACAGATGATCTGGCGACCACAACAGTTCCTCACCCTTGTGTTTGTGCAGGAAGTCGATGCTCTTCTGCAAAATAGTGGATTTGTCCATCTTCCGGGTGTTGCCCGGCAACATGGTGCCCAGCTCTTTGATGAGGACATTGAACTGGTCTCTGCGTTTCTTCTCAGACTTGTTACGGGACACACTGTGGGTTTAGACACAATATGAATAACAGCACCTTTTCTCTGGCTATCTTACAGTAGTTTGGGTAATGCAGCACTACAATGGGACAACATGGGACAATCTGATGTGGCCCGACTTCACGATTCACAGTAAGTGGGTAAGGCAGGTTGATCTTTATATGAAATATTGCTTAGTGAAGCTTTAATAAAGTCTTATAAAAACTATATTTGTAAGATTAAGGAGGATGTTTTAAATAACACTGAATTTCTTGGATCTGAACACAAGCCACAGGGATCATACCGTTTTGCTTTGTCCTTTTCATCTTCTTCCATTAACCCATCAAAGATACTACTGTCATCCCTGCAGGACAAATAAACCAACAGTTGAAGAAGATCCTCTTAATATTTGTTCTCTGATAATCTTTGAGGAACTCTTTGATAGAGAGTCCCTCCTAATATTAAGAATATATGTTGTGGTGAAAGAAGGAAAGAATAAACAGGCAGCAATGGCTCAGTCTGTAGGGACTTGGCTTGGGAACCGGAAGGGCGCCAGTTCAAATCTGTGCTGGACTTACTGCCGGTTCCACCTCCTGCTGAGGTGCCCCACCCAACCCCTAACTGCTCCCAGAGTGCGGCTACGTGGCAGCCTATCACTCCACCATCTCTCCACATTTGTCTATAAGCCCTCAGTGTGCATGACTGTATTTTGGGGTAATGAGTTAAAAGATCATTTCCCCATTGGGGCTTAATAAAGTACATTTTCTTCTTCTAAAACTGAACACATAGATCTTAGACACTGATCCCCTAAGTGTCTTTTATCTAGTGCTGCTGAAACAATGAGTTGATTGATTGATTGAAAATAAATCTATGGGAACTGCTATAAATAGCTGTTTTAAGTCATTCACAGTCAAGTGAATACATGGGGGTTTGGACAGCTGTTTTTGACAATTTCAAAGGTACATGATTAATTCAAATGAATAAGAAAAACTGCATCTGACTCACCGGTCAATGCTCGAGGTCATTTTGTATCCTGTTCAGGGTCGCAGTGTTGGAGAGGGGTCTTTTAATCGTGAGGTAGACATTTGTGAATGAACCTTTGAGGGGGAAAAAAAGACGTCACGAAATGACAACATGCAACAGCTTCGTCACTTACCAGCGATTGAATAAAGTATCAAATCAGATGAAAAACGAAATCTTACCGTACTGACAGTACAGCCAGTCCTATGAGAGGATGAGGAAGGTGCTGCAGGATGAAGGCAGGGTCTGGGTGGACACACTGTGGTGATGGTGGTGGTGGAGATCTGCGAGTCTTGGAGGAGAGTCACTGAAAGTTTCCTCAATCAGAGGGAAAGTCGACAAGAGGTCTTTCAGAGTTTTTCGTCTGCTTTGGGTGTGAGTGTGGCACATGGCAGCAACATCTGAGTCTGTAAGAGGTTAGAAAAACACATTTTGTCATTAGTGAAGTCCAATATCTCATTCTGCAATATTATCAATTTGCCCACATAACAAGATTAAAGCAAAATAATATCTCACTACGCCCTGTTGCAAATATGACAGATAGAGCTTTTAATGTCAATCCACCACTCTGGTCCAAACTGAAGTATCTCAACAGAGGATGAATCCTAATAACTCTGAAGTATCCTCTGACTTTTCCTCTAGCACCACCATCAAGTTTTGTGTGAAATGTCTCGACAGTTATTGGATGGATTGCCATGACATTTGGTGAAGACACTGTCAGGATGAATGGTAAATATTTTTGTGATCTCTAAACTTTTCCTCTAGTACCACCAACAGGTCCAAATACAAAATCAATCGGTCAAATACTTATGACCAAATACCTGCCAAAAGAATTACATTCCCATCATCCTAAACAGTACTTTGTGGTTAATGCTATTTAGCAAATGGCAAGGCTTGTTACTGTTAGTTCTCAGCATGGTTTCCATGATCTTTGTCCATAAACATTATATGTCATCTCATTTAAGACAACAGTGGTCCCATTACAATTTGTCAACCTGGTTTTAGATTCTAACACAGTTAGTGCGTCTGTCAGCTCAGCATAAGGAAGGTAGAAAGCAGCATACCAAAGTGAAGTTTGCTAAGGGGAAAAGATGAAAGCATGACATGTGATTAATTATACCCATTGTCACACAAGTCTGGCCAGTCTAATATAGGAGACAGCATGGACAATGTTTTTATCTTCTACGGCTCCAGATGGCCAGCTAACCCCTGATGCACTCACTGTGACTGACCTTTGCTAAATTCAAAGTGATGCAGGCTGAGGGTTTGTAGCTACATCCTAAAATGGCACAAATCACATTTTGTCTGTCTGCCCAATTATCCAATTTTAGCTAATGACTGCACCAAGAAAAACTTGGGTGGGGGACTCTAATGTTATGAGATCACAGTGGAGTTTAAAGAGGCGAGGCTGTGGACAATGGCTTTCAATTGTCTATGAACTATTAGGAATGGTAATAACATTTTCCCTGGAAATAGTTTGATTCAATTTGAACAGTTGGCAGCAACTTGGTACAAAAATTAGACATTCCCTGATTAAAAGGGACCAGCACTATAATCCCTACCAAAAGTGGAGACGATTTTGGGAGGGAGTTATAAATTGAATGTTTGTAAGAGGTTAGTCTAATTTAAAGGGGGCTATCATACTTTGCCATAACATCTATCTAATCATCATAATCTGGGATCATATTAAAGGTATCTGATATTCTCTACAATTGGGCAATAGAGCAGAATTTTCCCATTGGCCATCACTGTCATCCACCTTGCCTGGCAATAATCAATGTGGCAGATACAAAAAAGCACCCTCCTTTATTTAAGTCAGCCAAAAAAACAAAAACATCTACAATCAGCCCATCGCTAACAGCCAATGTATTCTTCCTATCGGCCGACTCTACTATTCTTCTTACGCAGGTAGGCCTACAATAGATCGTCAAATTAAAATGAGAAGGCCCGCTGGGTCCCTAGCCTAAATATTTGACCCATTTATTTCATGAACCAATTTCCGTCAGAACCTGTGTGGGAGGTTTTCTCACCATAATGGCATATTCGTGTTGGTGAGAAAATCCCTTCAGTGTTACTCTCCACATATCATGACATTTCCATTCATACCATGCAAATGTTTTAGTTTTTCATATAAAAGGGATTTATATTAAAGAAAAGAGTTCAACTGTGAGCAGCAGCATAGCCCCTCTCCATTTCATTTATCCTTGTGTAAGGCCTGAAGTGATTCTTACATTCTCAAACTGTAAAAAAAATATTGTCTTCAATATCATTACTGTGTGTCATATGTCACATCCTGACTATCAAAAATGACTCTTTTGATAGTACAGGTTGGTGAATTCCACAAAAACCACACACACACACACACACACACACACACACACACACACACACACACACACACACACACACACACACACACACACACACACACACACACACACACACACACACACACACACACACACACACACCCTGAGCTCTGTTCCCTGATCAGATGTTATTCGTGCTGTTTAGTTAACTTGTTTTTTTCATATTTAATAGCACCTAGGACTACTTTTACAATTTTAGAAGCAATATAAGAAGTCTTCAAAAGACAGTGCCATTGCCTACAGAAATATAATAAACTAATAGAATATAATACATTAAAACAGACTGGGAGGCTTTGATGTGAATGCACAGACCGGGGATCACAACACACAGCTGTTGTGTGAGGGAAACCCCAGTCCGTTGTGTTGAGGCTTAAATTAACTCACCCAGGTTTATCAAAACAAGGAAAGGAAGTCAGCACTTTGAGTATAAACACCTTCATGTTAAGACACGCAGGGGAAGAAATTACAGTAAGAGGGGGAGTAGGTTTTATCATGGCCTGTTGACTTTCAGCTATGCATTGTTTTTTAACTGCTAACTGCATGTGACACAAATAAGCTGCAGAGAATAGCTGCCTTATCTAAGATTTTGTCAATATAAGCAGCCAAATACATTTTAAAAGGGAGAGAGTTGTGGTAAAGAGCTTTATCTACACACTTAAGCACCTACTGAGAAACAGAGGCATTTGCATTCTACTCTACAGTGTCTTGAAAACAGTCAAGCTAACTAGAACACAGACTGAATAAAGGCAAAAAAAAAATAACACTGGAAGCCAGAAAAAACAAAACAAAAAAACATGAGAGCATATAAGAGGAACAAGGAAAATGTTAACCACTGACACTAGTGTACCAGCAGTAGCTGCAGTGCAGAGCGAGCGTTGTGTAAGCAGGAGAGCAGAGGTTGTATAACTGTGATGTCATCTGTGCTTCACTGACCTGCTGGCCCAATGACCTACTTTCCTCCTCCTCCGATCTAACTTAATCACAGCTCCACAGGCAACACCTTCCTGTTCTTACCAATAACACTATACTCCCTGTCAACACAAATCCTTTAAAAGCTGACCATTTTACACAGCAAGTACCTTCACAAAAAGTGTGAGCAGGGAATCATGCTGCCTGCATATCACATTTCCTCGTTCAATCACATGATATGCCAAAGTGTCCTGGTGTTCCCTAAGCCTCAGCGGGCACAGACGTAAAGGAAGAAAGCGTTGGAGACTTTTAAAAGGTGCTGAATTTTAAACAGCTAGTGTTTAAACCTGTAGACAAGCAGATGTATTCACATACTGTATTTACAAGTCTATTTCACCATGAAAGAAATCAAATCACAGACTGAAAAACACCCTATTATCATATTTTTTCTATTGCTCACACAGCATTGTTAAGTGCGTGTGTACGTGTGTGTGTGTGTGTGTGTGTGTGTGTGTGTGTGTGTGTGTGTGTGCACGCATATACTCAGATGTAGGGCAGCAGAGCTCTGAGGATATGAGTCACTCCGAAGTGGATCTATGGCGCCGCTCGTCACGCACCCCACCACACCCCGCATAGAGATGCCAGCACAGCAACAGTGCCAACGGGCAACACCATAGCAACCAGCCTCACCGTGTGAAGTGAAAATAGCCTGGCTGAATTCCTCCCTCATCATACACTGAGAATTATTGTGGATGTAAAACACTACAACGGGTTGACCTGCGCAGCACTGCTGTAAAATATGCTTCATTGTGATGTTCGTTCATCGAGTGGCCATCATACTGCATCATTTAGAGGAAAGCAATCCCTCCCATCCTTATTGTATTATAAAGCAGATTCTCTCCATCAGGGAGAGTGCTTTTACTATTAAATTATGGGAAATAGCAAACTGATGAGAAAAAAGATGAGGTAAAAAAGGACTGAAAGAGAGGAATATGTTTCTGTTATGAATCAGTAAGCTCAGAAATTCAAATAGTAGGTGACACAATAAATGTATCCGGTGATGAAAATCCAAATGTAAACCAAAAGACCCATCATCCATATCGGCCAGGGATACAGTTTTTCTACTTTTGTGGTCCACCGGATGGGATATCACTGAATATTAAAGTACTAATGAGGGCAGGAACAACTTGTTGATATAAATAAATATAAATATCAGGATGCATCCTTTTTTGTGTTCTTAACATCTATACAGCTGACAAATAAGTCAAAATGACAGACTGTACTGCAACAGGAAATAGGGACATTTACAGGTCTCGTCTTACAGTCACTGACAATAATAAAGGCAAAGTGGCATTAAGCAGGTTTAGGTGCAGATCACAAATCCATTGCATTGCCCTCCTCTTCCATCTCCCATTTAGTGCCAGTGTCTGGTTTGTTCCTTCACTAACGCTGCCCTTTTTCTACACTGTGTTCAGACTCACAGATAATGAAACTGAATCGTGAAAAAATGACACTGGTATCAATAAAATCAATTCTCATCCCTAGCCCTTTTTATGAAACTCAAAATATGTATACACAGACATAGTTGACAGTCAACCAAATTGAGAATATTGATATTAATATTAGTATACTCAACCAAATGTGCATCAGATCTGGTAGTCTTGCTGAGGTTTTTGTTGAACACCTCATACCAGGCGCATTGCAGACTTCAGAGTTCACAAATCAAGCAGCTATTCAGTCAACTTGAATGCTCTTTCAGGCCATCACAAACTGAATCTGAGGAATGTCTAGACACTTTCAGTTTAGTGGGAAAAAATTATGGCCTTCCTCTATCATTTGTAGTCAATCCAAAATATTTTGATTACAAAAGGGGACTTTTTCCTGGAACTTTAAACCTTTTCTGCAGACAGTACCGTTGGGTAGGTCTTGTATCACATGGCTAGGTAAACTCTGTTGTCATAGCAACCCTTGTGTTTTCTTCATCATCTATGTCACATCCTGACACCTGAGAGCAGGGGATTTGTGAACCCTCAAAAGATCCCAGGTGTCACAACACAGGCCACTGCTTTTTAAGAGATTTCTAGGAAGACTGTTCAATTCAGTTAACTATTTAAAACTCAAGACTCATGGGTGCTGTTAGAGATTGTACTGTACAGCGTACAACAACATAGACTTGGTCCTCATGTTAGGAGCAAATAAGGAGGAGGGGGTGTTCTTTTTCATTCTGCTCCAAGTGCTGAGAAATATATAGGATAATGTTATGCAGTTTTTAACAGCCGGCAAGCAACAGACTCGCTGCCAAGGAGGTCACACAAATCAACAGAAACACTTTACACAATTTACTCAGTCACACATCCTGTCTGTGGCAGCATCAACGCCTGCACATCCTGGTGGCATCCACATAGCAATCAAAGACGTGATTCCCTCAGTTTACAGGCATACCTGTTTCCTCAACACTGGGATGTGCACTGCATCTGAGGATGGTTTTAATAATGTCATGGTCATACACCGTATGCAGTAAAAGTCACAACACGAGCTTGACAACACTGCCCACCATACTGCTGCACGGTTGTACCAACCAAACCCTTAACATTGGACAGCCAGCTGTGTTTCCACTCAGTGCACACACATCCACAGGCCCAGCAGCACAAAAGGAGTCTTTGTTTTGCATTTTCTCTCCACAGCCCACAGACAGGAATGTTTGAGAGGCAAGCAGCAGTGGTTGGCAGGGGCCCCTCAACTGCTGCTGGCCTCCTGTCCCAGCGGAGCAGGAACTCAGCCAGGGGCCTCATACTGATGCCAAGTGGGTCACCGGAGTTCAGAAGGACGACTGGCAGCACAAGAGAGGCAATCAAGAATGACTACAGTGCAGTAAGATCACAATCTATTAGCAAAATATATGACCGACATGTGACCACCAACACTTAATCTGGTATATGAATGCTAATTGTGCTAACCAATTAAGAGCGACATGTGGTTCTCACAGTAAAGAGCAGTAGTGCCTATGAGCAAGTTGAACCGTTAGAAACCTAAATAACTGATGCTTTTACTTGACTTCGCTCTGTGTGAGGATATGGACTTTCCCAGAAGACTGTGCACCACATTATATTATACTCTACAGATAAATGTGTCAAGGCGTGCCCAGCCTACTTTCTCTAGGCCAACATCACACTTGAATTGAATGCAGTTAATCTCAGATAAAGAGAGCTCTCTCTCATAGTGTGCTACTGCACCATCTTAAATTAAAAATGATTCATCTTGCAGAACTCGCAAACAACTGATACAGGGTCTGATAACCTCACAAGGCCCATTTAGACATGCACTTTAGTAAATGCTTTTACTTGTTGGTGTTACTGCTGAAATAATTAGTTAATCTTAATGGATTGACAGAAAATAAATCAACAATTTAAATAACGAATGATTTAACCATTAATTGTTCGCAGATTCTAGCCTCTCGTATATATGAGTATTTGCTGCATTTGTGTGCATTGTCATTTGAATATCTTATCTATCAATTTAAACTGTATGACCCTGCTACTTGCCAGCAGTGTCCCCCTGATGCTGAAGTCATGACCTGCTGCTCCACTCTGACTCTAAATAGCTTAACCTGATAGTCTCACCACAACCAACCCAACAAAGAGGTTGGACGGGTTGGGAGCAGGGTGGATCGTGTGCACATCACTGGGCACTGGCAATTACTGTTTTAAGGCAGCGAAGAAGAGTTGAGTTCTGGCAATTTGACTGTACTGACAGTTCTATAGCATTGATTGATTCGTCCATTTGTTTATATCATGTTTTTTAACATCAGATATCAGTCTCGGTACTCTGCGTGAGCCAATACGCATAATACGAATATTTTCTACACTGCTCTGCTCAAAACAATCCATACTGCTAGTAAAGGCACATAAAGGATTACAATATTTTATGTATAATATTTTTCTCTCAACCTTTTACAACACTGCTGTCTTTAAAGGCAAAGGCAAGATAACAAAAGAGCTGAGCAGCATGTTGCAGTCATCAATCTCTCAACACATACAGAACTTGATATTACATTGGCATTACATTCAAAGCCTAGTCTTGTGCGCCAGATGCTGAATGTCTGAAAGGATTGTGGCTCTCACTGTAATGGTCCTGTCATGATTGAACAAAACCTTTTCAGAACAGAGACATAATACATGTAAGCCATAATAATAATAATAATAATAATTGCTTTAAAGGGGAACCAATTTTACACAACAAAGTTGTACAAAGAATGATGAATTGCCTCAAGTGATTTGTTTCACAGAACCATATGGGAAGTCATTGTTAGAAACTGTTTGTAGAAGGGCAGGCACGTTCAAAAATAGTTGAGAAAAACCTTCAGTGCCGTTTCCTTCAATGAAGAAATACTCTCCAGTTCTGATATAACTGATGCTAGCAGCATCTATGCTAGCCTCTATGAGAGCCGCCATTGTTGTTTATCGAACAGTCTTATCGCTGCATCACACCTAGTGTACATACACATAGCTGCCAGCGTTTCCTCAAGGACACCGACTGGTCGAACATCAATGTACCAGCCACAAACACACAGATTGAAGCCTGCCTCACAAGGTTAGTAGGCACCCGGTTTTGACAAGAAAGACGAATGTGTTAAAATAAAAAAAGACAACATCACAGGTTCTACTGATTTGATTTTTAAAACTTCCACAGTGTTACAGGAGTGCAATGCTAAATTGATGTAGTACTCTTTTAAAAGGTAGATGAAACCAGAAATATTTCACGCCAGAAAGCAGCTATAGTCTGAAAATGACCACACCTGCCATTTGGCTACACTACAATAGTGTATAAAAAATAAACCTCCTTGAAAAAGTAGATTACTTCTACTTTAAAATGACTGAAAAACTCAACTCAAGCTGTTTTAAACTTGAACATAAATAACTCTCTCTCTGAAACAACAACAACAACCACCTGGACAAAATGATAATTTCTCTCAGTAACACACAGAGAAATGTTTGTTTTAGGTTTATATAATGGGTAGAACGTTTTAATTTATAGATATATTTAGTGATCCAGATTTAGCCACTTTTGTAAACCTTGGGACTTCAATAGATGCAAAGAAGCACACAGCTCCTGATGAATCAGACTTCAAAAGACTTAATTAGGCAAGGCTGTCCATCTCCCTGTCTGACTGACCCAACACAATCCACTGCCGCAACATCAACATTAAGTAGGTGAAGTCCAAGAAGTCTTACCTTTTGTCTTTGAGTGATGGTTAATTAAGTAACCGCTTCACCTCATGACAGATGAGTCTGTAGTCAACTCTTGTCTGAATTCTTCACCTGTTGAACAGAAAGACAAAAGCCACATTAACAAATGAGTGGCTCAGAGCTGAGAAACTCATATTACTGAATCAGAACTAAAACATCTGGGTCACCGTGAGCTTCCCACGGCACTGCAGAAATAAGAGAGCAACTCTGGACGCACACACAAGTGTGCACACACAAGTGTATCTTAGATTCATTCACAAACCGAGCCATCAGCAGGGAATGGGGGTCTACTTACAGGCAATATAAACATAAGCATCTGCTCCTTGAAGTGCTTTAATTTAAAACTAGCTACATTGTTAATATGAAGGTGTGAGTGTGTGTTTGAACCAGAACTTGGATACTTTATAACCCTTATCATGATAAAGGACTTGACAAAACAATGTCATAAAGTGGTGTTAATAATATGCTACTCATGATAATAAACTGGCCCTTACACTATAATACCATATATTTGCCATATTCTTATAATATACTGTACATCACAGTGATTTCTCCAAACAAATAACTTGATAAAGTGGAATGACTGAATATCCATCACTGTATTTATCTGTATTGTCTCTTGTTAGCATGAAATGAAGCATTTTAAATGTAAAGTCATTATGCTCTTTTAAATGACAACAATACCCACATCACATCATTTCCAGCTTCCAAAACAGTCAAATTCATTTGCTAATGCCTAATGTAAGTACTCAGGAGCTATCAACTATGAAACTGACGCTACAGATAACGCTGATGCACCTCTACCCCCATCACTTTTTAGGGAAAACCCAATAGACTTGACCCATTTCTTCTTGATCATAGTCAAATCAGATAGCGTTTTTGATTGCCCCTGATCTCCATGTAGGTCAACTTTTTTCCATTTTTACAAGAAACAACTGCTCTCTGAAAAACACTGAGTGAGGATTACTTTTGTTCTCTCACGTATGTTTAAAAGTGACACATATCCTGTTCATTTATATTCATCACAATTAAATGATAATATTGTCATAAAAACAAGACACTATGAGATGAGACTATTGTTGTGACTGGTTTTCAATCAGAAGTCTGTGTTAATGTGTTAATGTGTGTGTACACCCACATGTTTCCAGTTTTAATATCTATTGTAGAGACATATTCAGGTATTTATTAGATCAGTAACCCATTTTCACTAGTTCAAATCAGACGTCAAACAACATCTCCCACTTCACCTCATCAGCTAGCACTACTGTATCACTGTTGCACGTACTGAGACAAACTCCAAAGTCAAGTAATGGAACACTGTTTTTACGATTTGGTGGTGACAAAGTGAAAAGAAGTAATTGCCAACAAAGTCTGTGAATCCGATTTGTGTCTTCGAGAGGAAGAATCCTCTCAGCTCTCAGAGAAAAAGGTCAATCTGACAGAAACAATCCTGTGTGGCAAAAGGATTTCTCTGCAGCTAACGTTGCTGTCAGTGGATGTCCTCTTTTTAGAGCTTGAGTGGGGTAGTGAGGGAAAACCAGTAGAAGTGATCATGTATCTCTTTTGTGTGTATTCATTCACAAAATGAGCTCATAAAAGAAAACTTTTTATTTTTTGTTGCTTTGTTTTCAAATTAAATGTTAGCAGTGCAAAATTATGCATGTTATTGTAATTGACTGGTTTAGAAATTTACATTTTTATTATGTTTTATTTTATGTCACTTGACACAATTGAATATCACTCGTGGACAGATTTGAATGCTTCTGTTATTATATCTGAACAAAGCATATGCCATAAAACTGTTGTTGTCTAAAAACACATTAAAAACACATAAAAAAGGATCATACAGTTGCAGTGGATGACATATTCCTTCATTAAAATGAACATGGTCCGTGGAGTTCCTGGTGTTGGTCCATCTGGAAGTGTTTTATATCCCAAGTCCGTAACAAATCAGCTCTGTGGCGATTAGCTATCAGAGGCCATTTGGGTAATAACAAATTATATTGTACTTCTGCAACAAAATGATTAATTTAAAAAATTATAAACAAATAAATAAATCAACAATAAAATAGCAATAATTACTGTGTGACACAGACTGCAGACCAAATATTGGTGGCACCAAATTATGTGCTGCAGGGCCGTGAGCGGGAAACGTCAGTCTGTAGCCGTAACAAGGCTCTGATCATGAAGTCAGCATATTAAATGGCTGTCATGACAAAGTCACATGCTGTCTCCGAAATCAGCAGGCAATAACATTAAAAAGAAGAAAAGGCTAAATGTAGTTAATCTGATTTTCTACACAAAGTCACATCGAACTCTGAAGCACTGGGACTCTTTCACCTGGTGCATTTAAGCTTATATTTCACACTACAGGGTGAAAGCAAAAGCAAAGACTGTCACTGTTGAGAGAGTGCCAACGTATCAAACCCTGCGCCCAGTAACAACCTCAAGTGTGTGACCCGTCATCCATCAGGTCTTCTATAGAAGTTAAAACCCATCTACTTATGCTTTTACTTTTTAAAGTGATAAGAAACAAGGTGGATTCCTGCAGAAGACTCCGGATGACGTCAAAGTCAGGGTCACCTCTGGCAAAGGCAGTGTCAAAACACAGAGTCTTTAACCTCATGATATCAGGTCCGACAGACTGTAGCAAACACATGGTCGACCTTGACTGAGAAAATAATTATACATGTTAAAAAATACTATTTCAAGGACTGTGGATGTGTGAAAGCATTCTGCCTGAACTCTGGTACTTGAATTGCGTACCACTTTGGTTGCTATAGTGTGTGAAATGTCTCACTGATGTCAGTAGGACGATATCCCTGCGGTAATGACGCCAAACGAGCCATCCCTGAGACACTGTGAATGTACAGTTCACGTGTAAAGCCACTGCACTCAGGCCAAAGCCTTGATGAAGTATTTCTGATTCTGATTACACGTGTTGTAACTTCTGTAATACTGCAATTTCCAAACTTCAGCATTTAATAACAGGTCTGTAATTGGTGAGGAGAGTTCTACTCTGCTGATCTACCAGAGATACACAGTACGGGTAGTACCACCACTTTCTATCAGTCCACTTAATGAGTCAAGCTGCCTGCATTAGTCCAGAGCCAGAGAACGTCATCTGAATCAACACAAGCTCCTCTGTATCAGGAAAGCCTGATATGACAGGCGTATAGTAATTACATTATGAGGCGTAGCACATAATAATGTGTAATCTGTGTGCCCCCCTCCCCCCTCCAGTCCCACACCCTACTCTGTTTAAAGAAAACAAACCTGCCAGTGAGGTGCTGAACTATAGTATATAATACAAAAAACACACATACCGTAATATCAATGTACAACTTTTAACTTATTGTTTTTTTAATCTTTTCAGTGTATTTATTGAGTATTTATGTTTAATTTAGTCTTGGTGTTGTATTATGTGCATTGTGTTTTTTATGTTTGCTCAATGTATGCAACTGCTGTACAACTGGGGATAAATCACATTATTGATGGATTTATTATGCTGCCTAAGTTTTATAACAAACTTGGAGAAACTTGTAAAACTTGATAAACATGCTGTAACGTGTGAAAGATGCCAAGCAACAATGAAACACAACAGATAGTAAATAGTAATAATCTGCCAAAGCAAAGAAAGCATGGACTCGCCTATCCTCATCTGCAGCCAGCAACAAAAAAGGTGTCAAGGGGTTTTTCTGTGCTCCACTAACAGCTCCAACAATTCTGTATAGTAAAATTAAATCTCTATTGTGTGTAAACAAGCCAGTGAGGTGTGATTAATTAACAGGGGCTTCAAAATGATTTAATTTGATTGTTTTTTTACAGCCACCAAGGAGTAGGCTACGTGTATTTTAAAAATCATGACATAATATAAAATAATTTCTTGGAGAAAATATGACATTGGAAGTTTTTTATTTGCTCTTCTTTAAATCCGACTGCATTATAATTAGGATTAAAACAGGGATTGCCATTTTCAGATGGAATTCTTATTTAGGAAATCATTTTTGGAAGACATTTGACTTGATGAATCATTAGATGACACCCTAGGATGTTACCATAGTCTTCAAAATGTAAGGGAACCATTTCAGCCTTATCTCATACAATCACCATCAAACTACAGTAGATGTTAAATAGTTCCACTTAACATGACTTAACTTTGTTATATAATTGAATTATATGCTGTGCTGTGCCACATCATATTGCATTGCAATAAATGTGAATCAAATTGTACAGACTCATAGACTCCTTAAAGTGTATTTGAGGACAACAAATCATTGAATCTATATTGAAATGTGTTTGCATCAGAAGGAGAGACATTCTTCTTTAGTACTTGTTTTTATTTGCTCATAGAAAGCATAAAGTTCAGGTCAGGAGTTAGGCTACATTAGAAAAACATCTGATCTGGGTTGTAATCCAAGCTTTGAAACAACATGAACCTCGTTCACACATTCAATATTCAATATGGCCATTTATGCCTACCTGTCACAATAAATGTGACAAACACTGCATAATTGAAAATACAAAAGATCTCGCCTTAGGATATTCTCGTGACATTTTTATGAACCAAAGTGAAACTTTTTTCCATCACATAAAGCAGCCATTACAAACACCCACTAGTCTCATATTGTGCATGTTGCAGGAGCACAAATAAAACATATTTGATCCTCACATCAGACTGCATAACTAAACATCTGCACAGGTATGATCCAGGTCCGAGTCCTCTCTCAGACAAGACAGATGACAATGTGATCAGTTTCTTATCTGTTGAATGGAGAGCAGCACAATAGATACATGCGAAACGCAGCTGCCACACATCTATTCATTAACACCAGGTTAAAAAAAAAAAAACAGACACACAGGTCAAAAGAGGAAACAACTGTGCCGGTGAGATGTGTATGGTTGTCAATAATGTAAAGTCACCCTTGAAGTGACAACCCCAGGTAGAGCACATCTATCTGTCTATCTGTCTATCTGCTGCCGGTGAAGCCGGCCGGCAAACCGGGCACTGATTGCTAGAAGGCTAACGCCACCTAGCTCGCTTGCTAACGTCAATTACAGCAACAAAACAACAGCTTTGTAATGTGCCACACTTACCGCGACATATGACACACACCGCCGAGGCACCTTTATCCGTGACAAATGAGACAGACGATTTTCCCCCGCTGGCTACGGACTTTATACTGTAATGCAGCGAGCGTTCAACTCGTCCGCAACAATGTACTGTATGTATGTCAACCCACTTTTAGCCCGAGCTAGCTAGCTAACGTGCATTAGATAAGAATGTGGGTCAGCGGGCCTGTGGCCAGTCGCTGTCACCAAACAAACCAAAGCAAAACTGTTCCGTTTGCAGCTTTAACGTGTGCCAATTGTACACACAGGGGCTGCCGATATACGCGGTATAAATACAGAGCCGAGTTCACCGGTAGAGATGTCACACTTACCCCGAACAGCCTCCCCTTTCATCGGGATATCCCTGCACCCAGTGGCGCTGCTGACGGTTGACTGCGCAGGGCTGAGGCAGGCTGACTGGAGCTGGAACTGGAGCCAAAGGGGCCTACCGCTGTACTCCAGATAACACACAGGCCTGCTTAGAGGGAGGTGATCCTCCAGGGTTAGGTTGATCACCTGGATTGGGCAGTCTAACGCAGGCACCTACTGTCATTTGCTAGTTCTGTCTGGTTGTTGTTGTTGTTGTTGTTGTTACAGGTAAAATCAGTTAAATTAAATTGAATCACTTGTGGAAAGGCAAAATTCAAAAGTAGTCCCCTTCTTCTAACGTTGTGTGTAATAAAACACTACCTACTATGGTCTGGATGACAGATTGCACCCATTACTGTAAATACTGTTGCTTACTGTTAAAATGTGCTTGTTTTTATATACATATATAAATAGTCAAATTTTAAGGAGTAAGTAAGAATTTCTTTTGTGTGTCTGTATTGAATCGGAGACATTTTTGCAGACAAAAAACAAGATCAAAATATCTTTCCTATCTTCTAAATCCCATTTGAAAGATATTTTATAGCATTGTAGGTCTACAGTATTTCTTCTTTATGGGGTTATCTCATTCAGTATACCAGACAGACCTGTGGATTTTGCATAAAGTTTTTGTGTTTTTTTTAAATTAATTAATTGATTAATTTTGTTGATTGTGAATAGCCAAACACCGTATCGTTTAACGTTGTAGTTCTCCTGTCTGTTTTAATGTTTTTGGATTAATTGGACAACAGATTATTTTAACATTTCCCCATCTCCAGCGTGGTCCTCATCACCATGGCAACAGCCCAAATAGCAAAAGCTGCAGTACCACTTACGACCACACTGATGAAGTCAATAGACCGATGGCGCTGTTTCGACATTAGGTCAAGGGAGAGATTAAAATTATGAATTTGTTTGTCATGAACTGTATGGAAAAAGTGCCACACACAACGCAAATGTATTGGCCTTATTATCTGTTAGGAAGAGCAACCTGCCTATTTTTTCCATTTCTTCTTTCTGTAGTGAAGAGGCAGGCACAGAGGGTATTATAGGGACTTGGCTTGGGAACCGGGGGGTCGCCAGTTCAAGTCCCACAGACCACAAAATATGGAGGGTGGACTGGTAGCTGGAGAGGTGCCAGTTTCACCTCCTGTGCACTGCCGAGGTGCCCCTGAGCAAGGCAACCTAACCCCAAAAACCTGCTCATGGGGTGCTGTTAACGTTGCAGCCCCATCACTCCACCATCTCTCTACCCTTTGTCCGCAAGTGCATGAAGTGTGCATTTTGTGTGTGTGTGTATAAAAAGAGTGAAAAGAACAATTGCCCCTAGGGGATCAATAAAGTATATCTTCTTCTTCTAAACCCAGGCTTTGCTTGCATTGCCGCCTCTACATTCACTGATGATGTTTAATGATTTGCATGCATCCAGTGCCTCTCCTGAAAGCATCTCTGGCAAACTGGTCATGTCCACCTAGAAATGTTGATTTTATGTCATGGATTTAAGGACTAGCAAATCAGCAAAGGCAAGTTTGATGAGTAAATAAATAACCCACTTTTATAATAGAAATAAAAACTGTCCTATTATTATATGATTTTATATCTCCCTGGAAGAATGTCAAATGGGAAAATTGGTCAGTAATATTTTTTCCATTATTCCTGCTGAGACGCAATAGTCTTTAGTCACACTGTCAACAATCTTACTGTCAGGTGATATGAGTCACACTTGGTGCCCAAAGGAAACTATTTAGAAGTTAGCCTTACATTACTGACTCAAGCCCAACATGACTTCCTGTGGTATTTTACACAGTTGCTCATTCTGCTCTGAAATATAAAGGCTGTGAAAAACACTGATATTCATGGCTGGAGGTACAAGCAAACACCAAAAATGTTCTGTTCTGTAAAATGTTCACATTGAGTGTGGTGTGTGGTTTACTGTGGTGCAGCTGAACCTTTAAAGAACTCCAGCGATGATGCTGATACTGGGAGTAACACTCAGAATACTAATAATGTGCCTCTCCTGAACCTTTCTGCACCTGTTTGGAACTTTTAAATATGTCTTCTTTTATATGTCAGAGTTTTAGGACGGTATGAGGTTAATTATCATGAATTATACAGTAGGAACTCGAGTAATCTCTAAATCTACACCTATTAGGATTCATCTTCTTATCGTGCCTGTAAAGGTGATCCACACTTTAAAAGGCTAATGAAGTCACGTTTAAACCAACTGGATAAAACATTAGTGTGCATACGTTGGCATCTTCCTCTCTTGACTTATATATCAACAGAAGTGTAGTGTCACAAAGAACGCTCTGCTTTATCTGACTGATAATGGTGACATCTACTGTTGATAACAGTAATTACATATTCAGGGTATAAAATAATGCAACATTTATGGAAGAGAAAAGAAAATGTTTTTGTAAATGTAAAAAATTAGTAAAACTAAAGAGAAAATAAGTTTAATTATCAACATATGAGAGGTTGCATTTGAGTTTTATAATCAGGAGTGTTTAAATACGTTTATTCCTTTTTTTTAAAAATGAACAGAATGGTTAGTTAGACTTGTCATTTCAGCTCATCCTTATCTCTGGTGTAATACCATCTAATAGTGTCAAAAACATGATCCATCCAAATATTCCGTAAATTCTTGCAGGAGTTTATGGCATTTTCTTTTAGCAGCTTTGTTTGTTCAGTGTTACAGATTGCTTACTTTGTAGACATTATGAGTGACAGGACAAACAGGAAAACAAACAGTTCCTACTTTATCTTAATTATGATCATTTAAAAATGTACTTAGACATTTTCAAAGTGTTTATATTTAACAGTACATATAAGCTATTTCTATATAACATTTTTTTGTCAAATAAATACTATTTTTGGTTAAAATATTAACTTCAGTGTACAATATAGAGTTTTTTTGATTGTATGTATCTGTATTCATTCATGCATCCACTACCTGTTTTACACATTTTACAAATGCAGAGAAAGATTCTTATTCATAACGTGCAGCAAATCAAACGTGCACAACTACACCCAACCACATTATAGCAGTTTTAATGCAAATGACACATATAACATAAAATAAAATCTGGACAAATGAATAGTATTTTAATCATATTCTTTGTGTACATTCAGACATCACTGTACAGCAGTGGCAGAGGGCTGTGGTTGAAATCTGGATCACTCAGTCGTGGTGCAGCAGCTCAGGTCTCAGGATCTGTGTTGTCGAGACTCTACCACACATTAAAACACATAATTAGATGAAGATTACAAAACCAAAAACACTTTGAACACTCTGATAATATGACCCCATATAAACATGGTGTTAGCAGCCTGTAGTTCATTATAATCCAAACAATGACTGCTACCATTAGAGTAATGAAAGAATTTCACGGGCAATTAGGGACTGTATGAAAATTAAGGGGCCCTTGTGCTTTTTTTTACTCGCCAGCATTAATAATATTGTCTTTGGACCCTCTGGTTAAAGTGCAACACCTTTCCCCCCTAATATCTAAAAATAATTAAAAGAACCATTTCTAACACAGTATTTTCACAATAACTACAAATACGCACATTAGAAATTATTTAATGGCAGGACGTCAAAACGTAACATGTATGACGATATGTTGCTATGGTGTGCTGTATCATTTACAAGGAATAAATATTTATTTTATCTCATTGTCCAGATTGTCTATGCCTGTGTGAGGGATTTATGTAACATCCAGTTACATTTTTTTCAATTTTGGACAGCAATGCCTTCTACAGTTGTTAAAATTAAAGTATAGGGCTTACCTTTAATTTACTCATATTCTAAGGACCTTCTTCCATTTCGAGGCTGTAAGTGCAAACAACATTTTATTGAATGTTCATCCTATTATCCAGGGGAATTCTTTAATTCTTTTATATTCTAACATAAACATGTTCTTACCCGATAGAGGAAGTAGCCTCTGCTCTGGATTCCCCCAGGTCCCTGGAGTTCAGCCTGTATAGACACAGAAACCACAGAATTTAACTTCTATAGAACAAGGTCCCCATTTTCTTTGCCACTTTCTCTGTGTTGCTACAACTCTCCTCCACCAGCAAAAAGCCATCAGCACTCACGTCAGGATTTTCCAAAACAAACACCCCCACGCGTTTCTCACTCACAATTCCTCTATGTCCACTTTGCAAATATGAGCGCTCGATAGCAATGAGAGAAAAGTTCACCTGTCAGATGCACTAATTTTAGACCATAATTGCTCGCAGCTTGGGAAAGAACAACTAATGTAGACTGAGTTTGTACAGAGAGTGAGGAGAGCTGCCCGATATGAACCAGCATTATTGACATGTAAGCTCAGGAAAGGGAAAACATTCGTTGAGATCAGCTACAGAAGTACCACATACATTTCAATATCAGTATTTGCTACAAACATACAAGAATGCATGCTGTACATTGTATGCTTTTTCCCCCTATATTTTCAACCAGGGAACTTATTGCATTTCAGTTGAGACACCTCCATACATTGTGAAAAAAGGTCAGTTTGCACCACTGATTGCATACAGTTTTTTGTATGCTAAAAAGGCAAAGTATTCGTTTTCAATATCTTTGCTCTATCAATCAGTGGCTGTGAGATTATTTTGTAAAGCAAAAAAAGGAGAACTGACGTGGGTGGTACATACGCGCATTGAGAGTCCTCTCTCTCTTCTGGTATGGAGTTGGGAAACAAGATGCAGGAGAGGGTGCAACAGAGGGGTCTGACAAACACACAGAGCCAGACACACAAACATGAATAACAGCACCAGAGGACAGGAAAGTACAGAGTATGGAGTCTTCTCTCTAATAAACACACGAACATGCAACACAGAAATGCAAACGTAATACAAATGCATCCTTGGTGCAGCAATTTCTTCATTGCAGCCTCAGCATCAGTGTTCAGAAAACATATCACATTCTGCATTATTCACACACTGGTGATGGAGGAGCAGAGGAAAATATGGCTTCATATTTCATATGAGAAATATGGTTTGCTGTGACAGGGGATCGGGCATCCTGGGATGTTTTATGTTGTTGTACTTTTCAATGAGCATAAATGCACATACAGGAAACTAAATACATGTAAATAATCATACCTTATTTAACACTGAGTCTGCGGCTTTACAATGTAAACATTTCACTACTGTTATCACAACTCCAAAAAAGCAGCTCTGCGTCATCTTTGTTGACTTTTTATCTGCTACATGACCAGAAATCTTTTGTTCTTTCAGCTGACGCATAAAAACATCAAGGAGGATCCTATTTAATTATCAAAATGCATCATTAAGTAGTGATGTTAAGAACTGCAGACACATTTTGTAGTGTTGATATAACTTTTTCCCTGCTTCCAGACTCACGTTTGTGTTGTCCAGTGTGAAAGGCAGACAAAGCGGCGAACATATTCCAAGTGCTCATGTAACCAAGAAATAAAACTGCCGGTTTATAAGCATCTGACATGCGGAGCACAGAACAAGGGAGACGAGCACAACGAGAAGATTTTTATATTTGTGTATATGAGGACTGGGTATATGTGCGTATCCATGTTGCAGTGTTTGCCTGCATGCATATATGTATATACACAGTGGTTATCTGTGGTGGCAAATGTGTACCTGCATGCATTTTGATTTGGCGATTGAAGTGCGATCATTTACACAGTGGAATCAAGTCATTTAAAAGTACCACGCTTACACACAATGTGCCGGTCACATATAGCTGTAAAACAATTTGAGGTGCTTTCTTCGGTCAAGCTACAGACTTTAACAGTGCAGATTTATCTTGTAACTTACTTACCGTCCCCTGTGACAAGGCATTACCTTGTGGTCTAGAGTAATGAAATAAAAACTGCACAAATAGTGCATGACATAAAAAAATTAACAACCACACACACACAAGCTAGTACACACACACACACACAAACAAGCCAACACAAATTTGTCATTAGGTTTAATTGGGACATGTCTCTTTGGGTCCAGTTGCACCAGTTTAGGGAAAATAATCCAACAAAAATAAGTTGTACTCACCCTTTTACTATTTTCTCGCACTTTCAGCTCCTGCGAAGACATGATGTACCTCTGTGAATATTTATATTGTACAGCTCTACTCAAACGTGATCAACAATCACAATTCACTGGGTTGTTTCATATCAAATCTAGTGTGAAAAACACTAAAACATTTCATCTGAGCGATTATAAACTATGAGGTACCTTTGACTTCTGAACCAACATCAAAACACAGAGTTCTCCTAAGACATCAGATGTCTGGAAAAATGACCAGAAAGAAGAGTTGCTGTTAAAAGAAATCAATTCAAATAAATGTACTATATACCTGTAATATATGTGTAAAAAAAAAAAAAAAAAGACAGAATCACAGCTCACTCACCCAAAACTTCGGGTCTGCAGAGAGGTAGGATGAGCACACAGCGTCTATCTGTGGAGCATCACAGAGGATGATGGACAGGCACACAGACAGGAAGGATAAAGAAGAAAGAAAGAATAAAAGGAAGCTGCATACCTGGCTGAGGAGCCGCCTCTGATCTGTTGTGGCTTGCTGAAGTTCTGCTGGAGCACCTTGAAAACACAGAAATACAGTTAATATAATACAGCTAATGTATACTGTGATATCATCCTCGCACAATTTAAACGTGACAGCAATCAAATACTTTTGTTGAAAGAACAGCGATAAAGCATGATGAAAATGTGCTGTAGAAGCTGGAGGTCAGTAGTGTCTGATGACGAACAGCATCTCTATGCGCTCTGCTTCGACATGATTGCATTGGATATCTGTTAGCAGGAATAAAAACTTTACTGTAGAATTTGAAGGCAGTTATTGTCCAACATCTTGATGCATATGTGCTTTTGAAAAAATTCATGATTTAAAAAAAAGATTTCACCACTTTTCACCAATCTACCATCAAACCATCTACTTTTGAGAATCCATCTAATCATGTTTCTACAAAGAAAATACTTCAACAGTACAGCGTCACAACAGCTTATGAGCCACTTTGACATCATGGGAAGTGACGGTCAATCTACATCTACGCACATCTCAGTCTTGTCAGGTAGTAGACACATGGAGTCAGAGGTTGCAAGCTCAGAACGGGGTTTCTGACTGCTCTCAGTTAGGGAGCGAGAATGACAGTGATTGATGGATGATGGATGGATAAAGATCCTTTCAAACATGAATCATGATAGATATTCACAATATGGATTTGAGTCCGCTGCAAACAGACGTACAGTAAATTACATGAAAATACAGTATTTTCAAGGAAACTAAGAGAAACAATTTTAAGGTTTTATATTTAAAACTGTTTGTATCTGTTTATCTATTCAGCAACTCATATACAAATAATGGTTTTTCAGTATAAGATAAATTAAAAAAAACATTAGAAATAACACATGGGCTATAGAGATGTATCATTATTACTTGATATTAACCATATTATTTAAACGTGTGGTTTCCTTCTTTAGGTGGTGACTTTGCCAAATGTCCCATCTTGAAGTTAAGTACAAATGAGTAGAGAATTATAATCTTTGTTTGATTTATCTTAAACTTCAGGTCAAAAAGGTTTTAGGACTGAGTGAAAAGATACAGCTAGACAGGTAGCTGCCTATCTGGTACTTCTTCCACACAGAGAGGAACTGAAAGACTAAAAGTTAGACTTGTAGAGAAATTGAACTGCCAATGAAGCTGAGGATAAAACGCACAAACAGGATAAAACGCCGGCTGGCTTACTGTCGCAGACAGGGATGGTGAGGATGAGCAGGGCTGCGAGGGTGATGCTGGTCGTGCTGAGTGGACTCACGGCGGTGCTGCTGCTGAGGCTGTGCGGGCTGCTGGCGGCTCCGCGCTGCGCGGCCTGACTTTGGCTCTGGAAGGTCCTCATCTCTCTCTCTTTCTCTCTCTCTCTCTCTCGCGCGCTCTCTCTCTCTCTCTCGCTGGCCTTGCTTGTCTTTTATTTGGTCCTGTCCGCTACACTTCTGGCTCTTCTGAGAGTTTCTGTCCAACGTCAGAGAAATATGAAGGCTCGTGTGTCACACACACACACACACACACACACACACCAAACACCCCCACCACCCCTCCTCGCGCGCTCGACACTTGACTGCGTCATTGTTTAGAGCCCCGCGCGCGCGTAAAGTCATTAGATCTGATCAACAGGTTGGCTGAACGTGACGGTTCAGGGAGGTGTTGGAGTGATACCCATCCAAGTTATACAAGTTAGGGTGAGTAAAGTGGGAACTCAAGCAGTGTTATAAACCTTGTTTTTTTTACTCATATTGCGCTCAAACACACACAGAGCACAACGTATCACGCAAACACACTACATAGGCTATTTTGTAAAGGTTACATGTTATCACAAGTCTGTGATATTTTTTGTTTTGTTGGGTTGCATTAGGCTGTATCCCATTTCCGCCAATGTGATGGAAAGGTAAGTAATGAGAAACTTTCTCAAAACATTGACTTAGAATATTAAAATAATGAGAAACTTACTAATTAAGACTAATTTAAAAAAAATGTCACATGGGTTCCCATATAGTATTTAATGTATGGATGTAATTTGAAGCTATTTTCTTGGGGAAACTTCCATCAGACTGTATTGAGGGGGCCAATTTGTCCACAGCTTCATGTCAGGAAAGCAGCTATTTGTATATTCTGTGTGCTATACTTACCTTGAAAGGCTATGTTGGCACAGACTCTCATAAAATCGTTTTTATCATTTTGTAGCCCTATTTTTCTGTTGATGTTGTAATGGTAAGCGAGTATGAGGTCAGAAACCCTGCACAAAATGTACTTTCTGTAAATACACACTCAACAATTCTTTGTATTCCATTGATTAAGATGTCCTGCATGTGTGTATCTCTACCTTCACTATTAATGTGGAAGTTGGAAGCAAAAATGCTGAATTCTTCTGAGTGCTTCTTCATGGTAAGTTTTGACTCTGGGACAGTAAGAAGGTCTGGCAGTTCATAGCATAACAGCAGATTGGAAACCATTCAGTGCTTTATAAACCAATAAAATCCATTATATGACATGCATGAAGCCAGTGCAAAGATCTAAGATCTTTGTGGGGACTTAATTTCTTCCTTTTTTTATTGGCTCTGATTTTCTTTTCATGTAGTCATTAGGAAAACATTTCTGGATAATATCTTGTTCTCACATCACCTGTGTGAAGGAAGATGTTATTACACGCTTGAGCCGCATTGTAATGATCAGTGGCAAATTGTATTTTGTAGTATCAGATTTATGATATTTTCAATATCATAGTATAAACTACACATCCACCGCACTGGCATGTTCGGTCTATGCATAAGAAGCCTTTTCCATAAAGCAAGGACCCAATAATGGTCTTAATGGCGTTACCGATGTGATCCACCTAACAGCAGACAGAAAAACATCAACAGCCATGATGTATTTAACAGGACCAAATCACTGAAACCTGAAATTTATTTTAAAGCAGGAATCGTGCTCTTATTTTCGAAAAAATAAGCATTACTTTTGTGTGAATGTGTTTTAGACATAAGCAGCCATTATAATGCTTCTTAATACCAATCCAACAAATCCTCTCAAGCCCAGCACACATCACAAGCATATAAAATAATGATAATTATAAATAAATATGCCTTAATTTTGGACTTTTGATCAATATCAATGCATTCACACTGTTATGTGAATTTAAATCGTCTTCGTTATTTGACAGACTCATTATGGATCATTACTGAATTACCTTTTCTCATAAAACTAAGGTAATGTGTTGGTCTTTGTGTGAAGCTGCTTATGTGGTGGCACAAATACTCTCCGGCATTATAACTGTTTTCTTCAGCAAAATCCCCAAATGAATATAATATATACAGGAAGGTGGGTTTACTTTGGTTGTAATTGGCTTTATTGTTACAAGCGAGAGTATAGTTTTATTACAGTGCAAAGAAGAGGAGATGTGAGACAACTGAGGCAGGCAGGATGAGAGACGAGAAGCATTTTGAATATGTACTGGATTCATGTAGATATTCCATGATTATTTTCTACACAGAATAATATGTGATGCATTTACATTGTGGTCCTGGACACATGCACACATAAATACTTTGAAAAGATGACATAATATCTTGATTCATCTCACTAACGCAAAGCGTTTTTACTTCATCACTGTACAAATGGACTATGATTTATAGGGAAGATTGCTGGAAAAACAAGAAACACACTTGACAGATGACTGAAACAACAGTCCTGCCCTCATCACAGCTTTGTCTTTTGAAATCTGATGTGACTTTGTTTGAGAGCATGAGTAGCAACAAATGGAGTGCATTGGTAATTGAGTAATTCCAGGGAGTCATCACACTCATCCCCACCCTTGTCATCCTCCTACACTAATCTCTCTGGCCTCTTTAATCAATGGAGGTCAACAGAGCATAGCAACAGCATGACAAGTTATTATTATTTTATTTTTTGTAGCTTTATCATAGCATTCATTCTTAAGGCCCTTTGAAGTGAAAGGTTGGTCATCATCAGTGTTGCTTCAGTAACTAAAACTGATGCGTTTCTTGTCTCATGAAAGCTCTGGAGAAGTCCTGAAATGTTGTGACCTTTGAAGAGTTTTGTTTTATTATCAAGCTGACTGGCATTTGCATGTCTAATTGGATTGTTTGAGGGAATACCCAAAGGTAATGAGGGAAGGTTATTGTCTGTGATTCACACACACCTTCAAGCCACAACACACATTACGGTCTTTACTGTGCTCCAACTCCAAGCCACCTTCAAGGAAAGAATCAGAAGTTGAATTTGCTCCAGTATTTATGTAATTTACTCAGACAGTCTACTTGCATCTTGACAAATTTGATACATTTTAAATAATTCTTTACACGCCGTCTAACGTCTTTTGTATTATTTTGTCATTAGACATTTAGGAAAGTGCACTTATTTGTGTCTGTACTGCTCCCATATCAGTTATCAGTTTGTTCACAGTCATGCTTCCAGTCATTGTGCTAAGCTAAGCTAACCAGATGCTGGAGGTAACCTTATATCTAACTGATTGATGTGTATCAGAATTCGCATCAACCTCTCCACCATTTTTCCCCAAATGTCAAATTTTTGCTTCAAGCACCGGGCCCAGAATCATAAATGAAAGTACAGAATCATACCCACCAAAACACATCCATCTCTTACACAGAAGATGTTTATCTGCATGCTTTGACTGATGTTCATGATTGGAAACAAGAGGAAAATGAGCAGGGAGAGTAACCTATTTACAAGTCACATCCTCATACAAAGACCATTTGTTAACCTTATAAAATGTGACAAGCCTCTGAGTTTATTGTATTTCCAGTGTAGGAACCATAAAAAACAATGGTTGTAAACAGCTGCCTTTAGTGAAACATTTAATTTTTTAATTTTGTTTCCATCTTATGTATGAAATGGAAATTGCTGCCCTGACCAAAGACCAATAATAAGTGAGTAAAATTGGGTTTGAACTATAATAATCCCATTTATAAAGTAATAACTGCAGGCTTTATCTAAAACAGCTGGAAACATAAACATGAAAATATTCTCTTTAGATTATTTCAGAATATTCTGTGTTAATACCATGGCATGTAGACTGGGATCCAAATTAAACCAGATATTGACGGTTTAATATTACATCTTAATAACAAGGGATTATTAACGTATTAACTCATTTTCATTTAGAATCCGGTTTGAATCATCCAACTCATAATATGCTACTCGGGCAGATTGTTTCAAGTAACAGAAATCCACTTATGTTACATGGTAATATGTAATTCTGACATATTATGTTTCACTGTAAGTATCATTATATTTTATCATTATACTGAGTATCACATTCTATCCCAGCACATTCACAATTTCCTGTTCAGGCGCCGCATCCTAAATGAATGTAAGCATGCAATAAGTAAACCTCTGTCCCTCGCTGTGATGAATGTGAAATGTACAGTGTTTCACAAAGACCCTTTCATCCCATCCTTGTTTTACCATGTTTGCAGTTCGAACAAGTTTACCACGCTTCCTCTGAAATCCTCCACATAAAAATAGTGGTCACATTTTGTGATACAAAACACTTGCAGAACTCATTAATGTATATGAATATATATGTATCATGTCACTATGAGTTTCTCTGTCTTTAGCTGTGCTGTAGTTTAAAAGAGTACTTTGACATTTTGGGAATAAATACGCTTAGCTTTTTGATGGAGTGCTTGATGATTTGACTGATACTGCTCTCATGTCTTAACAGTGTGAAGTTACAGCGAGCAGCCCCTTAGCTTAGCTTAGCCCAAAGAAACAGGTCGAGTCCTTGGTTATTACCCATTTCCTAGTTATGCATATTTCCTGGAGTGCAATTCCCTCTGTGCTGTAGTTGGTCCTTCATATTTAGTCTTACATAAAATCAGTCACACATTCTGATGTTGCTGTTGGTACCAATAAATGCCAAGTGTTTTGGTTTTTTTTTTGGTTTGTTTTTAAATTTAGGACAACCTGCAATTTGCTTTCCCCAACAAGGACAATTAAACTACCGAGGGGACCCTCTGGCAAAAGATATTTGTGGGCTCCTGCTGATGTGAGGCCATTTACATCGCAAAAAAAAAGTAAAGTGCAAAAGTTGTATTGAATGTATTGAAATAATTTGAACATTTGAGCATACAGGGAAAAAAATAGACAGAGAGAAAACATTTTAATGCATCTTAGTGTATCAACATGGTGTTCAGAAACAGAGCCGTTTCTTGATATATGCGGACTATGCGGCTGCATAGGGCCCCGCAGCCACCAGGGGGCCCCCAAACTGCAAGTACAGCCTCATATTTTATTATATTTTGGAGAATTAAAAGTACCTGTCTTTATTTGCATGTATTGCATGCATTCATTATGCATTTATTTGCAAAGCATGTAAGTCAGGTCAAAATCACCTTTGGGCTGGGCTGTCACGTGGAAAGTGACGTCTGCCGACAGGTCTGACGGGATGATTGACAGCCGCCCACCTTCCACTGAAGTGATGAGAATGACGGTAGACGGTAACCCTAACCCTATATTACAATGTCATCGAAACGTA